GCAATCAGCAATTGGTCCTATTTGCCACATTGCCTACCATCGCAGCTAAGCCTACCCACATATTGTGGTCATGGCGGAATCCATATTTAGCAAATTTGGTCAGATTCAAGGACCCTTCCCTTCCCAAGGGATCAGGATTAATAATAAAATCATGTTGATGTCTAGCATATGCATTCCTTCCACAAAAGATTACCTTATTGTGATAGCATAAAACTATTAGTCCCAATATAATTCCCCCAGTGACAGAAATGGGGAACCACCAAGACCAAAACATATATCCCAAGAATCCCCAATGTGTAATATCTCTGATAATTGTTCCACAAGGGGGCAGTCAATCAATTGTATAAGAGAATCTTCCCGCTCACAGTCTCTGGTTCAGACGCTCCTCAAGCTTCAGGCGTGCGCAGGTCAGCCAGCTTCCAAGTTTGTGGCTGCAGCAGGCCGGTCGTCTAATGTTGCCCGTGACCTAGCCGTTCCCGGTAGGGCTAGATACAGGGGTTTTTGGAGAGAGTCAGTTTAAGAGGATTAGAGGGGTCACCTTTGCACGTCCAACTGCCTTCGGACTTCTTCAAACGGGAGTGATGAATCCAGGGGGTCACCTCAGCTACCTTCACCGCTGTTAGAGTAGAGAGCAAGACGGTGTAAGGTCCACGCCACTTAGGTACAAGTGGATCACGTTTCCACTCTTTCACCCATATGCTATGCCAGCCTGGAACTGATGAATCGGCAGGCAATGCTGCACGGCGTGCTCGAGGGCCCACCTGTTAAGATAAAAACAACAACAACAAACAAACACGGGAGAGAGACAAAAACACGGGAGAGAGATTGCACTTGTCCCTGTGTTGCATGGTCTCCTATTTGTTTGAGGTCAGTTGGAATATCCTGAACAAAGGAGGGCGGCCTCCCATACAGGAGCTCAAAAGGTGACAACTTAAGTCTTTTTGTGGGTGCGCACTGAACACGAAACAGTGCTATGGGTAACACATCTACCCTCCTGAAACTTTAGACATATTAGTGGGCTTCTGGCATGCCCTGCAGATACCTTGCACAAGCATCTGGCGGTAGGTGGTAAGCCTGGCCAGGTGAATTGCATTGTTTGGATCCCAATTAGGATCTTCCAAGGGAAAGTTTTCCTGGAGATGACGGTCAATATTAAAAATATTTCCCACTCTGGCCTGCTCATTAACCAGCACAGGCTCCTCAAGTGCATCAAATACTCTTCTAAGAGGGGCTACTACGTGACCTTTTTCTTCGCTTTGCTCTAGGGGCCTCAAATCATAGGGGATGGTATCTGTCCCGAGGCGTTCTTTTAGCAACTCTATACGCCTGGCTGTATTGTTTGCTGACCGATTAGGGTCTCCCTGTAACTTCTGTAATAATAGATGTACAGGGGTTTGGGGTAGGCAATCAGTTGTTCCACTAAAAGAGACTGTAGATGGAGTTCTACTGGGACTCACAGGTGGAATAACCACTTCTGCTTGGGCTTCATTATAGGACTCCAATGCCTCCTGAAGATATTTATCATAATCTATCAAGGAATCAAGTTCTGTGACTCTACCCCCATTATTCATTCCACTTTCTTGCCTTGGGGTTACAACTGGTGGAGGGTTCGAATTAGGCTCCCTTCGATTGTGGAGCATAGGGTGGAGGTGGAAGCACCTCTTCCTCTGGTCCCTCAAAAATAGGTTTGAGTTTATTTGGCAAGATTCCTTTCCTAGCTTCGGCTTTTACAGCCAATAATTTGCATCGTTGGACTTTGCATTCCCTTATCCATGGAGGATTTTTATTTAATGTGCTCAGCCAGGAATCTATATATGAAAATTGTTCTGGGCACCCTCCAGTTTCTTTGGTGATGTTAGACCAAAGTTTGCTTATTAAATTTATATCAAAGGTTCCTTGAGATGGCCATTCAGTATTTTCTTTTGGCCACTCTAGTTCACATAACGTTCTCAAGCGTTCTGGCGTCATTTTGACTCCATATGCCCCTGAGAAGGCTTTCTTAAAATTATTTAACATACATTCAAGAGGTGTATTTCCCCCCTTTGAACCCCCAACTCCCATTGTATGGCCCTGTGAAGTATCCACTCAGTCACTCACACACACACCTTACTGGGAAACGAAGTAGCACTCACTCCACACTTAGGTCAGCTACACATTGTACTTTCTCACACATGCAATGCGCTAGATACTTTAACACACACTACCTCCCAATTTTCCCTTTCCCTACACCAGATCACCATCTGATGTACCCAGCCACCTAGCGTACTCAGTTCCCCTTTACTGAGACGCAGAAGTTTGATCAGGACTTCTCTTCCTCCCAATTAATTGGAGGGCCAAAACCCCTTAGTGCACTTACCCTTAGCTGGTTCCCTGTTTATTTCTCTGGTCCCCCCCGGTCCGTCGCCGTCGGTGGGCAGGGTATCAGACAGACGAGACTGCTGCGTTCCCCTGGAAAAAATTTTTCCATTGCGCGCTGAGTAGGCAGTGAGTGATCCTCTGTCTTGTACCCCGCTCAGTAGGCGAAGGAGCTGCGTTCCAGCAGACCACTGATCCGAGTCGCAGGCACCATAAAATGTAGCACCCTGCTTGTGGTTAACGCTTAGCTGGAATGAAATATTCAACGCAGCAACAGAGAAATTAAATAATAATTTATTTGTCAGACAAATAAATGAGAGGCACAGTGGTATATGATTACCAAGCTCTGGCCTGCCTCCTGCCATTATGGCCAGCACTTATATTCCCTTAATCCAGCCCCCTTTGCTCCTCCTTGGGCTGCCTCTGTCCCATCAGCCTGGTTGAAATTCCTATTGGCTGATTAGTATAACCAATCACAAAAATACACTCATATCCTCCTGTCCTTATAAGGGAGACAAAGAGCTATATATAAATGACAAATAAGTAATAATATATCTTACATGGAATCTTAATTACCAGCTCACCTCTTGCCCTATTGCCTTCTAAAACAAATGGTTAATCTTAAATTTTTATCTTAAACATATGTCAAGGATCTTGAGTTTCACATCAACATTGAAAGATATCCTTCATTTGAAGGTTTCTAAACAAATATCTGACAACTTATATATCAGAATTGCTCAGGATGGCGTCTTCTTGTCTGGCAGGGGGCTGGACTGGTGGCTGACTTAATTTCAAGATAAATACAACTCTTCTAGCATTTGTTAAATCCTTTGCATAATTACATTTAAGCCAGCATATTTAATACACAACACAGGTAGCTTCTTTAAAAGAATAAAGCCTCTTTAAAGAAGAAAAAGAACTCAGTAAAAAGGAACACAGTAAAAAAATCGTTTTAAAAGAAGCCTCTTCCCTGTTCATACTTCCCCCCCTTCTCCAGCCGGTTTGTTTTCTCTTCCAAGTGCTCTTGACCTTTTGTCCTGTGACTCAAGTTTAAGGGAGGCCCATGGTTTTATTTTACTGTTTACTCATCCCTAATTATGTAGGGTCTGTGTAACCTTGGTCTTCAGCCTGTAATTCCAGCTTTTACGACTTAATTGTACTCTACAGCATGCAAGGTCAGTGACCTGCTTCTCAGCCTTTCTATGACCGCAATAAACCAGGGGCCCTTTGCTTGCCAGCTGCTTGCTGGAGCCGCTTGCTGGTTTTCTACCTTGGAAGAAACATTATTTTTAGAATTTTAGGAACCTGATCAAATATAAGCCAATATAAGTCTTGATTAAAATTGCAGTCTATATTCAGATGCCACAATGTTTGATTTTGGTATGGAAATTTGTTCCCATATGTTTGATTCTAGCTATATCTCTACTTCTATTTGACACCTGCTGTTACACTCCGCTATGTTATAAATAAAAATACAAAAAAAGGCCCACTCCTGGGCCCTTATGGAATCCAGTGGATTCCTGAATGGTCAGTGGAATTTTCTTGCATATGGAGCTAGTGATTCTGTCAAGGCCTTAGTCTCTAGGGAGATGTGGCAGGCCATCAACACTATTGTTCCTGAGTGTCCTTTCTAGTGCTGTGGAGTCAGTGCTGTTCTCTGGTACTCGAAAGAGCTGCAGCTGATGAAACGGGCTGGATGATAAGTGCATTTTGAACCCACCACTTATTGTAGCTAATTTGGATGCGTGCAGGATGTTGTGTATGTGTGGCTATGTGGGATAGCGGTGCACCCAGAGCTATTTGACGACTTCCACCTGGCTTTCCATTTGGAAGGAAGGTAGGTACCCGAGAGGGTTGTAGCGGCCCAGCTTCTTGCACTCTTGGAAGAAACTGATTACCTGGACCCTGTTCTTCCTTGATTTCTCAGTGACTTTTGATACCATGGTATCCTGCTAGACTTGACTTGTGAGTAGGGACTGGGAGGCATTGTGTAAAAGTGCTTCTGCTCCTACTTACAGGACACATTTCAGAGAGTGGCATTGGGTGGCTATATACAGACCTTGGCAACTATCTTCTAGGGTGCTGCAGGAATGTGGTTGTGTTTTAAAGGGTTGTTTTTGATCCGTTGATAATTTTAATTCCTGCTTTATTTGTAATTGAGTTTTAATACAGTAGTTAGCTGCTCTGGCAGGAGGTAAGGAGTGATATAAGAACAACAAATACAGTTGTACCTTGGAAGTCAAACGGAATCCGTTCCGGAAGTCCGTTCAACTTCCAAAACGTTTGAAAACCAAATCGCGGCTTCTGATTGGCTGCAGGAAGCTCCTGTTGGATGTTGGATGTTCGGATTCCAAAAGATCGTTCACAAACTGCAACAATCACTTCTGGGTTTGCGGCAATTGGGAGCCAAAACATCTGAATTCTAGGGCATTTGGGATCCAAGGTACGACTGTAAATGTAACATTCGAGTAGAGTCATCACAAGATCTGGAGTGTGGTGTCATCAGTAGGAAAAAAATAAGAGAAACTGTAAACCCTAGGTTCCTAAACCTTAAAAATGACTTCAGTTTCTTTAATTTTGGTTAGTTTCAATGCCCGTGTAGTAGTGGCTGTCTTTTTTTAAAGTGCCTGTTATTCTCCACTTAGGAGCTGAAGCTTCCATCCTATAAAGGCCAGTCTCCCCAGTTAAATCTGAGAAGATACTTTGCAGACTTGATTGCCATTGTGAGCAATCGCTTCAGGCTCTGCCCTGCTGCCCGCCATCTTGCTGTTTATCTCCTGGACCTCTTTATGGACCGTTACGACATATCCATTCAGCAGCTGCATGTGGTGGCTCTTTCCTGTTTGCTTTTAGCGAGTAAGTATGAAGCAACAGGATTAACAGATTTGAAAATCATATTTCCCATTGTTTGGTTAAAAGCTACTCCGTTTTCCAGTCTGTTACATGTCCTACAACTAAGAAAAAAGAAAAACACCACCCTGCATGATATCGAAGGATTGTGAGGGAGACACAGGGCCTTGGCAGTTTCTCAATGAGCATTGTTCTATGTAGATTCAATCTCATTCTTATATCCACATGTCCTGTGTTAATATCACATTACTCTCTGGCCTGCCTCAGGTACAGTCGTACTGTGGTTTTTGAATTTAATCCATTCTGGGTATTGGTATTGCTAACCCAATACTAAGAACTTGTCAAGAATGTATAACTTGCTGTTGAAATGGAATACACAGGATGAAACGGTGAAATCAGCTATGATTAAATGGGCGCAAGATATAGGTCATGAAATTATGCTTGCTGACTGGGAGCAGTTATGGACCACCGGTGTTAAGTTTACGGCATGTAATGCCTTAAGAGAAAACATAATGAAAATGGTTTACAGGTGGTACATGACTCCAGTCAAGCTTGCAAAAATTTACCATTCGCCCAATAACAAATGCTGGAAATGTAATGAGACTGAAGGTACCTTTTATCACCTTTGGTGGACCTGCCCGAAGATTAAAGCCTTTTGGGAAATGATCTATAATGAAATTAAGAAAGTCCTTAAATGGACTTTTCCTAAAAAACCTGAGGCTTTTCTTCTGGGCATGGTTGGCCAATTGGTGTCAAAGAAGGACAGGACGTTTTTTATGTATGCTACGACAGCAGCAAGAATTCTTATAGCAAAGTATTGGAAGACACAAGAACTACCCACGCTGGAAGAATGGCAGACGAAGGTGATTGACTATATGGGACTGGCAGAGATGACTGGCAGAATCCGCGACCAAGGGAAAGAGACAGTGGAAGAGGACTGGAAGAAATTTAAAATATATCTTAAAAATTACTGTAAAATTAAGGAGTGTTAAGATGTTAAGGATCTGGGAAATAGAGAATTACAGCTGTAATTAATAAGTTAAAAAAGAACCTATATGAAAGTGAACTTGATAATTAGTTAATTGGAGGAGTTGCTGAAGAAATGTAAAACAAGGATGCAGAAAAGGGGAGGTATGGGGAAGTCCGAGAAGTAAGGTGCATGAAAATAAGATTATGAAATTATACATGTTTATATGTTTGTATGTTTTTGTTTTGTGTGTTGTTTGTTTTCATTATGTGTTTGGAAAATTAATAAAAATTTATTTAAAAAAAATAATAATCCATTCTGGGAGTCTGTTCGACTCCCGGAACAGCTCGAAAACCAAGGCGTGGCTTCCGATTGGCTGCAGGAGCGCCCTGCGGCCAATCGGAAGCCGTGCCAGATGTTCGGCTTCCGAAAACCGGAATAATCCCTTCCAGTTTTGAATCGTTCAGGAGCCAAAACATTCGAGTTCAAAGGCGTTCAGCTTCCGAGGTTCCACTGTACGAATCACATCAAAAGCAAGGTGTCTGGGGCTGTGTTTAAACCTGCCCCCGAAATTGTGTGACTCCTCCCACCTCTGCCATGTTGATCATAACTTATAAATTGGGAGTCTACATGTGGAGTCTCACTACACAGTGTGGAACCCCAGGCAGGAAGCATTTCAGATTGTGCCGGGATCCTCAACAAATTGAAAGAAAACCATAACTTCTGCAGCAGAGAGATAATGTAATGAAGGGTAGAGCTAAAAGCAGCCCCTGTCCCAATGAGTAAATTGTGAAGAGGGCTTTGGGTGAGCAGCAGAATTCCTGCTAGAAGTTGTTGTGTCTACCTCAGAAGCTTCTGGACAATTGATTTCGCAATTTAACAAAGGATGAAATACCTCAGAATTTCAAATATTTCGATACTATACCTAGTTGTCCACATCAGAATCCTCTCTCTATCACATTTGCAAAAATACGGAAACCAAAACTGGTTATTTCAGATACTGCGGCATTGAGTATGGCATACATCCCAAATAAAAAGCAATCGCTTTCTACTCGGTGAATATATTTGAAGTGGCAAACCAAATCTGCCTTGAATCTACTCAAAACGCTTTTGTCAAAACCTTAAAAAAATAAACATATAAATAAATCCATTTATATTGTCAACCTAAATGAGCAACCTATATTTAATTTTAAAACTGAGGACCAGATCTGCCATAGATTTTGTAAATGTATATCCTTTATGCTTAATAGAAAGTGTATATATGCTCTGGTTAGGCCGTTATCTACCTCTGCAGCTTCTCGCTATGAGGTGATATAAGGTACTACAAGTGCAACAGAATCCCTGTTGTAATGTTTTGCAGGTGGTGGCAATTAGCTAATCCTCCGTAGCAGGGCTGACCAGCATGCTGTTCTCCAGATGTTGTTCAACTCCCATCAGCCCCAGCCAGCCTGAACAATGGTTGAGGATGATGACAGTTATGCTTCAACTCCTGGAAGGCACCCTGATGGCTAACCCTGCTGTATAGCAGCTGCTATTATTTTTATTTTGCAACGTTGATCCGTTTCTTTTTGAGGCACTGCCGTTCCTCCATGAGGAGCTAAAACATAAATACATTTGTTTTTATCGTGTACCTATGCTGTAATGGAATTTTACCTTCTCACTTCCCTCAAGGTAAATTTGAAGAGAAGGAAGACAGTGTGCCTAAACTTGAACAGCTAAACAGCTTGGGTTGTATGACTAACATGAACCTGGTACTAACCAAACAGAACTTGCTGCACATGGAGCTGCTGTTACTAGAAACCTTTCAGTGGAACCTCTGCCTCCCGACAGCTGCTCACTTCATTGACTATTACCTCTCCATTGCCGTTCACGAGTCCGATCTTCACGATGGATGGCCAATGGTTTGCTTGGACAAGACAAAGTTGTACATGGCAAAATATGCCGACTACTTTTTGGAAGTATCCCTGCAAGGTGCGTTTTCATGGCTTTGTTCTAAAGACCCCCCCTAGTTACTTAGGTTACACAGCTAATACTGTGCTTGACTAAACCGTGATCCTCCGATGTCTCTCCAGATCATGCATTTTTAAATTATGCCCCTTCGTTAGTGGCTGCTGCATGTGTGGCTTCTTCAAGGATTATCTTGCGTCTTTCTCCAACGTGGCCAGCAAGACTCCATCGCCTTACTGCGTATTCCTGGGACTTCCTGGTGCCATGCATTGAACGATTGTTGGTGTAAGTTTTTCAAGCAGTCTCTGACGTGATGGTGTGGGTTTAAATCACCCAAGTGGTGGAATGCAGTGGGGTGTATGTGTTTTGTTTTGCCTTGTGATCACTTTGAAGAAACTGGTAGTCATGCTGGTGTCATTCTTGATTCTGGCAACTGGTTCGTTTTTACCTTGAATGCTTTCACAATAATTGCCACATTTTATTATTTCCCCCCCGATGACTTCCCCCTTTTCTGCCTGAAATTCATCCTAGTTATCACAGACTTCAACCTTGTGTGTTTTGGCTAAGATACAAAGTGCCTTTATTAAGGGGACTTTTATTCTAATCTTGCCTTCCTTGGGACCCACTTGACAAAATCGGCTTTTGACTTGAATGTGGTTTCCCCCTCCTTGTGCTGCCTTGCTCTGCATCCATTGTCTTCAGCCTGCAATCCACCACTTTAGAAGGTCTGAAACTGTATGATGGCTTTATTCATACAACTATATTTATTTAGGCTTTTTATTGTGGAGTTTTGATTTGCATTACTACTGCAAGGAAAATCTGGCTCATGGTGGCTTTGGTGCCTTAGAAATAGTTGCATAAACAGTACCTTGTCTGACTTCTATCAGTGCACTTATTGGTTATCTTTCTACTGAAGTACCCAAGGTGATGTACCTACAATAAAATGAAAGAGCAGAAGCATACACGTTTAACAGCATAAAAACTAATCTAACAATATCCATAAGATAGCCAGAATAAGTCAAATACAGGAAGTTGTAAAGACGTCTTAGGAGTTCTGTGCTTCATTCATACCCACCAGATGGTGATAAACATTAAACTTATTATTTTTGATTAAACTGTCACCTGTTTCAAACATTCATGAATTCATTTGCTTAAAGTATACCCTTTTAACGCCCTGCTGCTAAACTCATGGTCTTGCATGCATGCCCTATCAATTTCAACAAGCTATGTTCACAAATGACAGTGTTTTGGATTGCAGCTTTAAGGTGCCAGAATGCGGAGCTTATTAAGCATACTGAAACTATTAAAAAATTAATAGCCATTCAGAGTATAACCTTCTGAGGCATATTTTATTGTAAGGATAGGAAACCTGTGGCCTTTTAGATGTTGTTGGAGTGAAACTACTGCCCATTGGTGATATTGACTGGGGCTGATGTAAACGAGCCCAACAACTCAAGAGCCACAGATTCCCCTTCTCTGGTTTACTTTACTGGTTTTTTTCCTCAAAAATACCAAGTTTTGCATATGTAAAAAAAGAAACACCCTGTTTTAAAATCAACCTTCGATGCTGCTTTTAAAATGCATCAGCAATGTAAATTCAGATCTGCATCTGTTTTGGAAGGCTGTTTATTTTCTGACAAGTCTCTTCCCGCCCCCTGCCCCCCAGTCCAATTGTTTTACAAGGATGTAAAGTGCTTGTTACATTTGCTTTACATGAGGTAATGTCTGTGAAACAGAATACTGAGATTATTATTGTGTTCTATTGTTGTTGAAACTGGGGCCAGGATCTAAAGCATTGTAAATAATGTTCACACCTGTATATGTGTGTTTCTCTCCCCACACGGACATCCTCAGTTTCTTCCCACAGAAATTTCCATGCATATCAAGTAGGCTTTGATATATGAAGAAATACTCTCACCCCAATATGCCTGCCTGCATACATAGATACATACATACATACATACATACATGGGATGGGTGGGTTCTGGTTTCCAGCCTCTCTAAAATGGATAGTAAAACAAAGTTTTAATATTATGTTCTAGAGCCCATGATAATGATGTAAAAGAAGCCAACAAGCAAAAAGGACAGCACGGTTCTCAAGCAGCCCAGCACAGTTTATTTCAAACAACCACACAGCCTCCACAGCAGCACATACCCCAGTATGTTCAAGCACATCAGACTCCTCAGCAGTTTCATCCAACGGCACAGCAGCAAAACTGCCAGCAGATTCTGCCATCTGGTCACACGTCGTCTTATCCACTGCAGACTTGCCCAGCTGGTTTACAAGGTGGTGTCCAGGCTAGAGGTCATATACAGGCGGCTGCTGGAATGTCACTAACTGTCCCCATAGAAGTGAAGCCATGTATAAGTGTTTCTTACAACCGAAGCTATCAGATCGCTGGACGTTATCCTTGCATTACTCCGTGCTTTGAGAGGTGATAACTACAGCAAAACGCTGCAAGGAGGACAGACCTCTATTTTTCCTCTTAACAGCAGAGAAGTAGTTGAATACTTTTTTTTAAAGGTAACTCGATTGCAGGAACTGCTAATATGAGATTATACCTACTGATAAGGTGTTAATAACCTGAAGGATGGACTACTCCCCGTTCACAGTTGTATTTGTTCAGTTGAAGCCTGCGCTTAAAACTGAGGCTGAGAAACTGCTGCACTGGCTTAGTTTGTCTTCCCATGAAGAGGAATGATCCTGTGTGGTTCTAAAGGGACCACTGCGTCTACCCTTCGCTATACAGTATTGAATAAGACTTTAAACTCCACCAAGTGCCATGCTTTCCTTCAGGACGGAGAGCCACATGGGAGAGAGGAGAGAACCTCTTGATTGAAATTGGCAGTTCCGCTCTCGTTCAAGATCTTTGGATGAGATTTTGTGTTAGAATGCCCTTTGGGTTAACTTTTTTGTATATCTCATACTTCAAAGTACTTTAGTGTTTGCTGAAACCAGTTTAGAGCTAAACTGTCATACTAACTCAGGGAATAATCAAACTACTTTGATACTGGTGTATATCATTTAAGTAGTGTTCTTGGGTTTCCTCACTCAGGGTAATGGCCATAGCAAATACCAAAGGGAGTTCAGATACTCATCCAGACTACTCCCTTAATCCAAAATTGTGCTTTCTATTGGGAAGAATGGTGTGCTATCTTCAAACAAAACCAATGTTGTACCATAGCCAACTGAAGATTGTTTGTGGTTTCCCCTAGATTATGTAACCAACTATTTATGACCCAAATCCATTTTTCCCATTGTATTGAATTCCTACTTAAATAGGGAGAAAGTACAATTTAAATCTTTTCAAGAAGCATAGCATTGTACATGATAGTTGCAGAGCAAATACGGGATTGAAGTTCTCAGGCTCTACCAGAACAGCTACCACTTCTTGTTTCTACAATCGTATTAATAGTGATTCAGATATTTTTCTGATGTGAACTAGATAGTCCTACAAAGACTGCTAAGTGCATAACTATCAGAAAGGTGATAGTTTTTAGCTATTTAATTTCCTATACTTGGGTTCATACCAGAAACAGAGTGGCAAATAGGTGAACACCTTACATCTTCTCTTCTTCTCTAGCTTCCTATCTGATGTAGATGTGAGAAGGAATCCATGATGGTTGAAGGCAGAGGGTAGCACTTGCTTCCTGATTTCTAGGGATGGATTAAGTTTTTCAAAAGAATAGTATGAGTTGATAGGGGAAAGTATATATAAAAATTGTCAACAGATTTTCCTCACAAAAGGGACCATCCCCAAACACTTGGTGCTCTGAGAGAAATGGCACTGCTTGATTGAAAAGGCTCTCCTAGAGCTGAATATGCTGCAAGAAAATATTCTTTAATTTAGAGGAGAAACAATCCTCTGAGGCAATTATTTTATACCGTAATATATTTTCAGGGTGTCTTTGACAAATGTGAGGAGTTTTTGAGAGAAGGGAACATTCTGAGACCACCACCAATTTGATAAAGTGTCCTTGCTACTTCTTTCCTAAGGTCTTTAAGTATTGTCTTGTTTTCCTCTCACATGCTGTCCTTTAAAGGGGCAGAGAGAAGGTTACAAATAGAAGAGGTGGAGGTCTGATGGTATCACTTGTGGTGGTTTCACTTTAATATGTGAGGATGAAGGACTACAGAATGCATCTGAAAAGGAAAGATACTCAACTTAGTTTGTAATACTATATGTAAGACTCTTCATTGTTTGACTACCTCAATAATACGTTGAATGTACAGTCTTGTGGTAATCCATGACTTGAAATAACAGCAGGTTACTTACTTTGTGTTTTTTTTACATTGGGTTCATTTTCATTCTCCATGTGTGAGACAGCAAACGAGTTAAGACGTCTATTTTGTAGGCCTGTACACTCAAACATTAGCTGATAATTAACACTGGAATTATGGGGGAGGGTAATTAGTTAACATCAAAGCCTATGTGTAATAGGGTATTGTTTGTATTTAAGTCATTAGACTTAAAAGGATCCACTATGTGCTATTGGGTTTGTGGTTTTCTGCTCTGAATTTTTTATTTATTTATTATTTACCGTAGCCTTTTGAGTTTGACATACTAGCAGGATATTGACAATAGAATATGCACTGTGAACCATTTCCAGTTATTGCTTTTTTATATATATAAAAAATGGGTTTGGTCAATCTCCACTGAATCCACACACTACTTGAAATTCCAACTGAAGGAATTATGTGTCGTGGTCATGCAAGAGAAATGTCTACAATAAAAAAATTCCAGCTGAGTGCCATGCACTCATTTTAAAAATAAAACTAGTTTTGAGCAATCATCTCTCTAGTGGTGTGTATATTTGAGTGCAGCAATTGAATGGAGCTCATTCTATACCATATGTCCCAGCATGTGTTTTTTTAAAAAAATATGCTAACTCTATAAACAAAATAGGCAGGAAATACTTTTTAAAAAATCTATAGCAAAAAAAGGTCTACTTTATGCTCCACCACTGACACATCCTCCTCTTCTAAGAAGGAGAGGAAGCAAGACAGGAAATGTTTCTGTATTAGGTTATAAACAACTAGCAGTGGGACTATAGGCTATTTATGCTGAAATCACATTGAAATCAGCATGGTTATAGGGCAATTGCTAACAGGGTGACATAGAATTCTACAGCTAGCTATTCAACAATGTATTTCTACTCTTGTACTAAAGGAAATACAAAACATACATAACTGCAAACTTGGAAGACACTGACTATTGAGCATAGGATGGTATGCAGGAGTGTCTACAGAATGAACCAAATCACTGGCTAATAAGCCATTTCAGACATTATCCAAAGGAGATTTGGTCCCTTGGCTTTATGGTGAGTATTGATTCAAGGGTGCTTTCACTGGGTAGTCATTAGAAACACAAGTCCTTGAACCAGCAATATAACATTTTGAATCTGGCTAATTTAAATCTTGCAATATAGAGATGTGTGCAAGGAAAGCTTTTATTTTCTGATTATTAAAATCTTTTTCATGCTGTTTACCACTGCAGAAAGTAAATGAAAACACAAGTTAATACAATTACAAATGAACAGCATTTTTACATATATCTAGTAAGCAATATGTGAGGAACATTTAAGAGATAATCTCTGCAAAAGCAATGTGAATCTCAAGACATAACTAACTACTACTTGTTGATATAAGAGTGAAAATTCAGACATCACAATCAGCAAGCTCCTCAAGGCTGCATCAAAATTCTTGATTCCTGAAGAGTTTTGTGGTACTGCTTACTGATGGCGTACCAAAGATACTAAATATATCCAGACAGATAACATGTTATTTGGGTAAGGATGAATATACACAGCAAGAGCAAATTCTGTGTTGGGAACCTCTGAAGAATGAATTCCTGTCTGATAAACAGCTTCAGTTATTGACTGTAGATCCAGATACGGCATTTGAATAGGAAATCCTGTAACCTACAAAAAATTAGAAATTAAATTATAAAATAATCACTCTGTCAAACATCAAACGTTGCATATTTGCTCAGCAATGATATTAAACTTTAGAAAGTATAAATTCTGTAACATTTTTCAGTATCTTAACACTGTGTTTCATGTCTGAAGTTTGTTTAAATAAAAACAAGGCCACCTAGTGAAATAATTAAGTTCTGGTTCTGAGTTCTGCCTTTACCTCTGAGCACTAGCCTCCTCAACTCTAAATCTTGGGCTTGATCCCTTATCTCTGAACCCTTGTGCCTAGCTCCTAAGTGATGTCTGCCTGTGGCTCAGTCCTGACTGCAAAGATCCAAACCCCCCCCCCCCTTTATAAGAGCAGAAATAATGGGAGTGAGTGTCCCTGAGAACAGGACATTTCAATAATCTAGCAGCATAAACACTAACCCAGTAATGTTCCTGGAAAGCCTCCAAATTATTTTCTTCTTTTTCTCTAGCTGTCTGTCCATTTCTAAATTCTAGATTTGAGAGAATTTGTCGTAAGACACTGGTACACTGTCGATGCCACCGAGTTGGCTGCTGAGATCGCCATTCCATAAATTTCTTTTTCAAAGTCTTTTCAATCCTGTTTTTTTTAAAAAAGTAGCAGCATGAACAGTAACCATTACAGCATTGTATTAACAAAACGTAGTGTTGTATTAACATTGTAGTGACAAAACGTCTAAATTAGTGGATGTCATGGAATGTAGAACAGAAACAATATTTGCAAAGGGGAAAAATACATACAAACCATACATGCAGGAGAAGCTATGATAAGAAGGAAGAGAGGCTGAATGGAAAGTGGTCATGATGTCAAGTTTGCTAATGGGCCTTGCCTTTTGAGTGGCATAACTGACACTGCAACAGAAGAAGGCAGATGACTATTACAAGGCTTCCTTCTGGTCAGCAGGCTGGATGAAAAAACTTCTTTTCTTGGCATCTTTTAAATTGATGCCAGTTAATCATATATTAGGGACGCGGGTGGCGCTGTGGGTTAAACCACAGAGCCTAGGGCTTGCCGATCAGGTTGGCAGTTCGAATCCCCGCGATGGGGTGAGCTCCCGTTGCTCAGTCCCTGCTCCTGCCAACCTAGCACTTCGAAAGCACGTCAAAGTGCAAGTAGATAAATAGGTACCGCTCCGGCGGGAAGATAAACGGCATTTCCGTGTGCTGCTCTGGTTCGCCAGAAGCGGCTCAGTCATGCTGGCCACATGACCCGGAAGCTGTACACCAGCTCCCTCTGCCAATAAAGCAAGATGAGCACCGCAACCCCAGAGTCGGTCATGACTGGACCTAATGGTCAGGGGTCCCTTTACCTTTAATCATATATTATAATAAAAAACAATAAGTATATAAAACCAAAAAAAGAGAGAAAGGGGGGAAAGAAAACCCCCTTCTAAGGTAGATCTTAACCCTAGTCTCACACTGAAGGGGATAGACTCTTCCAGCTCTCAACTGGGAGCTTTCCTTTCTTCTCTCAGCCTCTCACCCTGGGAGATCTTCCCTTGCCTGCCTCTCACACGGGGTCTTTCACCAACCATTCATCACCTTCATTAGCCCAAAGTAGAGGACATCAAAAATGAAACAAATCTTGGACCTAGAATAGTATTTCACTGTTTTCTTTTTTATGGAAGATGCTTGACAGGGTGGTGATGGTGTATTACATAGACTCTTTTCAGTCTGAGTTCAGGCCTTTCTCATAATACTAGAACAGAGGATTATACAGTGGAAGATTAGAACAGACAAGAAGAATCACTTCTTCACACAATGCATATTTAAACTATGGTATTTCCTACCACAATATGATATGATATGATATAACTACAGCCTGCTGCTTTTCTTTGAAAATAAGAGTGGTAACATTAAATGCTTTAAAAAAAACACTACCATTATTAACATAGCATGTAGTTTGATCCAAAGCTCCTAAACTTTAAAAGTTATTTGAAAGAATGTTGTTTAAAGTACATACCTATTTTGTAGCTCCATGACTAAACTTACATCAGTTGGGGTGTAAAATAGTTCTTCTTGCTAAAACAGATATTGTACAATATATACAGATACACATTAAGCAGGATCTGGAACGATTTTCTGAAGGTATCACAGTTTTTTGATACAAAGCACACCATACGTTACAAGGAAAATGCAGCTGTAACGTATAAGATGGTCAGGGAGTGAGATTCCTGAAGTATAACTGGCACCAATTAAATATTGCTTGTGGTATGGAGATTAATAATGAGAGAAGCTGTGTAGAAAAATGCTAACACTGATGGGAGAGGAGTGAGAGCACAGATAAAATTGACAATAGACCTCCCTCTAACTTCAGCTCTCGTCTGTTTTCCCACTATGAGGAAATGTTGGATTAGCCTGTGGTTCCGGTTCCAGATTCCATGAGACTGCATGTTTCTTTCCTCCTAAAAGAATTATAGAACCATACAATTGTAGAGCTGGAAGGAATCACGAGCATTATCTAGTCCAACCCCCTTTAATGCAGGAATCCTTTGCCCAACTCAAACCCATGACCCTGAGAATAAGAGTCTCAGGCTCTACTGACTGAGCTATGCCGACAGTAAAGAATTGAACTGTCTGTTTCCATGTGGACACAATCTGTCTACTTATTTTTAAAGTCTGCTGGTTTTATGGTTATTTCCTTATGAATATTGTATACTATTTTATGTAAACTGTTTTGAGGTTAAGCCATGTATAAATGTTGTTAAGGAAAGGAAGAAAAATTACCGAGATATATATTAGTAAATTCAAGTTGTATTCTTGAAATATAGATTCATGTTCCAGGATGCAAGGCTCAAAGCTAATTTTGAGATGTGGAAACAGAATTTCTACAATCCAGCATTCCATCCTATGATGGTCTCTATTAAATAGTAAACACCTGTGTCTTCTACACTGACCTAAAGTTGATTGAATGATGTTGAAGACCACCCTTTTTGAGTGCCCCTGCTAAACTGCTTTGTACAACAAAGGCTCGCATTATTTTTGTGTTTGATGCCTTTTGACTGACAGGTAGGTGTGGTTTGCCCAAAATAGCTCCATAGACCAAACTGAGAGTCTTGGTGGGTCTAATTAGGCCTGTGACATGGAGGTTCCTCACCCCTGATTTAAATGCACACACAGCTCTCCGGTATCAGAGCAACTTGCAGTTTTTTAAAGCAGAATTCTAGCTCAAATTCTTCTTTCCTTCTTACCACAATATGTAATATGTAGGCTCATCCAGTGAGGCTCTGCCCCACTGGGCAAGTCACTCGCAAGGTAAGTACTTTTTGAAATATTTGTCACCTGTACGGTCTGCATTTTTAAATCCTGAACATGGTATGGAAGAAACTGTTTCCATAAGCTTTCCTTTGAAATATCAAAACTGACACACATTGGTGAACTGTTCTGCTGTATGTTGAACCAGACCTATCAAGACATAAAATGTCAACAATAAATAATTGAAATAAACACATATTTGAACTAGTTCTGCTACAACATATCCTTTTAGCTGGAAATGCCAGGGACTGAACCTAGGACCTTCTGCTTACAAAACATCTGCTGTCACTGAATGATACTCCCATTTCCACATACACTGAAATTAATACATAATACCATCAGTCTATACTGGATTTGATTCAAAATATGGAAGGTCCAGCGTTTATATGGAGTTTTGCAAAACAAGTCGGGCTGTCCCAGAAATGTAGCAGCACTACAGAACTTAACAAAGGCAGAGACCAACTGAAACTGGTGAGGTTTATACAAGAGTGGGGACTAAGGAATGTCTGTGGGGAGATGAATCCGAGAGATATGACTCACATATGTGTACCCAGTGCTTAGCTTATGATCCAGAATAGACTTCCTATTGACATCCACCCCACTGTTAAATGCGGTGAAAGAACAGAAATAGGAGAGATCAAAATAACAGAGCATGCCCCAGTCTGCACAAAATTTGAATTCACTCCAGTTGAACATACAACCTCACTAGGGTATTTCATAACAAATTAATAACAGTAGTACCTCTGGATGCGAACGGGATCCGTTCCAGATCCCCGTTCGCATCCTGAGCAGAACGCAACCTGCATCTGCGGGTCACGATTTGCCGCTTCTGCGCATGCGCATGATGTCATTTTGAGCGTCTGCACATGCGTGAACAGCGAAACCTGGAAGTAACCTGTTCCGTTACTTCTGGGTCGCCACAGAATGCAACCTGAAAACGCTCAACCTGAAGCGACTTTAACCCGAGGTATGACTGTAATAAGAGAAAGACTGGCTAAAATATTAGGGGGGGAAATAAGGAAAATAATACGGAAGGAATAAGCTCTGGTCTATTGTGGGAAACAATGAAGGCAGTGTTGAAAGGGGCATGTATACAGGAAAAATCACTTTTAAACATATCACGTAGGACACAAAAATGACAACTGGAACAGGAAATTTCCCTTCTGGAACAAACACACAGTTACAGGATCAAAAGTGCTTTTAAAAAATTGCAAATAAAGTGGAAAGAATTGGAGACCATAGAAATAAAGAAACTATGATACAGCTGTTTTTTAAGCACAACACAAATACCAACTGTAAAGGAAGCTGAGGCAAAACTTATGGAATGGGTAATTAAAGAAGAATGAATAAAAGAGGCAATTAAAAACTAGAAGTGAGAAAATCTCTTGGTCCAGATGGATTTTCTACACTATTTTATAAAACTTTTACAGATTTAATAGTCCCAAATATGACTATATTGTAGAATGATATCTTAGCTGGAGACTCATTGCCACCAACCTGGAAACAAACAATAATTGTATTAATTCCCAAACTTTACAAAGATCCCTCATTAGTGGCATAATATTGCCAATTTCTCTACCCAGATGACAACATTTTCACAACAGGGATGGTTAATGGGAACTTTTATCGGGAAATATAGTTATCAGGCTCAAGCTGGGTATGTCCTGGGCCTTCTTCAGCTGAGGAAAAGCATCTAAAATTGGTTGGTAATTTAAATGTGAGTGAACGGGTGAGCTGCCTGAGAGCTTTACAGCTGAAATTAGGTGGAAAGAGGGCTGCAGGAGGAGGGTCAGACCATAAATGTTGCTCTCTGGAAATCTGGTGCTGTTAAATCTAATTAGAAGGGTGTATTTGTCAGCACTATGTTCTGTTACTGTAAAGAAATACAGTATTACAAACCCACCACTGCCAATGAATCTTCCCACAATGATGCAGGAAGCTTGTAACAGTGTATTGTTTTTCTACTTAATTTCTATTTAATCATACTTACATTTTCCCAGCTGATTAAGCAATCAACACTCTGTAGAGGGCAAAATGCATCAAATTGCTTATAGCACTGGCCACTCAGTGGATTCCACAGAAAATACTCTCCATTTTCTTGTGTTGCTACATAAGCTACTTTCCCCTGTAATAAGCAAAGGATACAGCCAGCTTTGTTGTTAAAAAAATTACCCAAAAAAATGCTAAAAAACTCTATTTTCCTGCCTCTATAACATGGAAAAAATAAGAAAATAAATAAAGCTACACTTAACCTATAATGTCTGTGTTTATACAAGAGGGAAGGAAGAAATAAATAAAACACATTCTCTTGCACTTTGTTATTACACCAATACATTATGAACAATGACTATTTTTCAATAAGACCCTTGCTCTCTTGTTAACCTTTAGAATAGCTATCAATTTCAACATGTATACCATATCCAAGATCATATTTCATCATTCTCCTAGTAATGGAAATTCTCTCTGTTTCTACTCTTGGATTATTGCCATATCTATACTGCTTGTTTATTCCAGTTTTTACATTGCCAAAAGATTACTATTGGGTCCTATGTATAGTTTTTGTTCCTTTACAAATACAGGAGAAACTATATATTATATTTACTCCTTATACTTTCTAATATACTGAGAAATAAAATAGCAATTTGGTATCTTTTAGAAATCCTACAATCCTTATTCACATAAATACTTGGCTTGATAAAAGCTAGGACCATTTTATTTCAAGAGAATGGGATAGAGGTGGGTAACTATTATTAAGTAATGAAGAATATATAAATCTAAAACAAATAATATTAAGAAATTATTGCCATGGGTGCTGTTGAATCAATAATACAACATCTTAAGGATCACACATGATTGATCATTTAATATCAAAGATAAGACTACACTCCATTTAAACGGGGTTTTGAAATAACTTATCCTGAAACAATTTATTATTTGATAACTTTAATGGATTTTCTTTAATCCGGCAGCTTCTTTTAACACTGTCCTCCTGTTCCTGCTACGCCTAAGCATATGGGTTGGATTCAGAGTTAAGTGCATAATAAAGCTATGAATTTATACTGTTCCACTTGTTATGTGGCTTATATTTCTGAGAAGAACTATACCACAGGCAGGAAACCTGAAGCCTGCATCTCATTTGGCTCAATGGCTGAATTTGCTGATGACACTTCCAGAGTCAGCTGGTTCATTTCCTTGCCCAGTCAAGGTTTTTGCACTTGTTTGTGTTGCTCTCTTTCAGCGCTGGGCTCACTACTGACCCTGTTGTTCATGCCTACTCTTATTTTCATGCCATTCCTCTTCTGAACACAGACATACCAAGTAGAACATCTACTTAGCGTTCAACCATGCACCCTCTATGGTTTCCTGCTGCCACTGATTCTCTCCATACTGATCTGCACTGAACTGAGAACGAAAAAGTTCACCAACCCTTGAATTATAGTAACAAAGATGGAAATATTTTGCCAGACTTACTTCTAACACTGATGTTCCCAACAGTACCCATGCTTTTTTCCCAATATACAGAAAGTAGTTACATAGAAGCACTGCATGTTCTTCTTTACTACCAATACCAAGTTCAAGGAAATTCTGTTAGAAATATAAGATCATTCATTTTTAAAAGCAATGCATATATTCTTCATCTTCCCACCAAAATAATACTACAGCGGCATTGCCACGAGGAAGTTCAGAAATGGCAGCTTGCATGTTATTTAAAGATTAACTTCAAGTAGCAAAATAAAAAAATCACAATGCTCTCACAAGTTACATTACTTCCACTGATATATAATTATGAAAATAATAAAAATAAGCAGACTAAGTTCAAGGTGCTCATACTGCTGTACTGCTTTATTTAGCTTGGGATGAAAGTATCCCTTTGAAAGCCACTATGAAGTTCGGAAACCCTCTGTAATCCTGTGGAAGATGCCCCCATCCAAGTTTTGCCAACTACCCACATCATTCTGGTGGGGCCCTAATTCTACCATATTTTTAGCAAGTCTTGCTTTAGTAACACTTTCTACCATTTTAACTGGAACAGATATAACACCTGTAATTTCCTCTTAAAATCTTTCTTTCCAATGGTGTAATATATTGATCGAATTCTGTGGCATACACATGGTTAAGGAATTTCTTTTTTGACTACAGTACTTGCATGAAAGCTATGCAGGGCTGGTGACTTGTTACTTTTATCAGTTTAGCTTCTGCCCCTCCCCTCATCTTAATTAACTTAGAAGACCCTCAAACTTCAACCTGTTTGAACTGCAGAAACATTTCAAACATCATTGCTCATATTTTCAGGTATATTATTATGACTTAAAAGGAACATCAAAACATGTTTTTTATTTAACAAATTTATACCCTGCTCTTCAATAAAATCCTTTTTAAAGTGGTTAAGGAACGCAATTTATATTTTAAAAAATCAAACCAGTAAAAAAAAGCATAGCAGAAATAAAATGTCATATACCTCTGATGTCATCCAAAGATCAACATCATCATTTTCATCCCCAGTGTCTGATATACAAGGAATTAAAGACACAAATCGTGATATAAGATCCTACAAAACAAATAGGAGTATGTCTGTCTCAGAAATACATATTAAAATAATCCATCTGACATTTGGCATTTAATTAAAGGCATCAAGCAATAATTAACTCATTGCATTACCTTTTTTTTACATTCTTACACAGGTTAGCTGCGATCTTATGCCACCCTGATGATGGATGTGAGCTTTGGCTGTGATATTGACTGTCCTCAGCATCACATGTCTCAGTTTCATAGCTGGAACCAAATGCTGCAATGCCAGCCTTACAGCTCATAGTTTCCACCAGTTTGCCTTTAATTGTGGGACCCCTGCTGTGAGCGCCCCAGCCCACCAAGTATGTGCTGATTCTGTGATTACATACTTACAGAAGTTGAGTTAGGCTCATCAGCACACATATCTAATAACTGCTGAGGTGGATTCAGAGAGGTAATGTACTTTGTTACTAAAATATTTCTTCCTTGATTGTTAAAAGCTGAGGTTATTATTCTCCTCTTTGGAAACAATGCTTTGCATGTTTGCTTAAAAACGTATGCTTTTTGCAACAGTGTTTGATCTTCATGATCTATGAACTGAAAAACAATCTAGGGTTAGAAGTGAACAGTGATGTGGCTGACTTTGCTGATGATATTAAATTGTTCAGGGTCGTTCATTGTTCAGGATTGTTAAAACAAAAAGGGATTGTGTAGAGCAGGCATAGGCATATTCAGCCCTCCAGCTATTTTGGGACTACAATTCCCATCATCCCTGACCTCTGGTCCTGTTAGCTAGGGATGATGGGAGTTGTAGTCCCAAAACATCTGGAGGGTCGAGTTTGCCTATGCCTGGTGTAGAGCTCCAAAAAGACCTCTACAAACTGAATGAATGGACAGTAAATGGAAAGTAAGAGGTGACAAGATGGAACAGTATAAAATTATACTGATCTGAAGAAAGTGCATAGCAAAAAGTTTTTCTCCCTGTCTCTTAATATTAGAACTCATGGACATTCAGTGAAGCTGAATGTTGAAACATTCAAAACAAACAAACTAAAGTGCTTCTTCACACAGCATGTATGTAAACTATGGAATATGTTTCTGCAGGAGGCAATGATGACCACCAACTTGGGTGGTTTGAAAAGAGGATTGGAAAAATTCATGGGGGATACAGCCATGTGTTCATGCTCTGCTTCCATGCTTGGAGGTAGTGGGCTTCTGAATACCAGTTGTTGGAAACCACAGGAGTGGGGAATGCTCTTGTGATAAGGTCCTCCTTTTGGGCTTTCCACAGGCATCTGGTTGCCCACTGTGAGAGCAGAATGATGGGCTAGAAGGCCGATTGGCCTGATCCAGCAGGTTCTTCCAAAGTTCTTAAAAACTTATTTTAAACGGAGATCAAAACTATAATCTCAGTTATAAATTTCAAAGCAATAATTTCATGCAAATTATCCTATTTATTAAACAGAGTAAAAAATAAAGGCCAACCTTGTCTGATTCTAAATTATTTTCAGTAGAAGATATTTGAGGTTCAATAGTGGCAAAGATGGTTAAAAAAGTATATTCCTTCAAGTTCTGGCCATGACATTCTTCTTTGGGAGGCACATATGTCTTACTCCAAGTATATCCAAGCAAAACCGGTGGCATATTTACTTGAAATGTACCACAAATCTGTGAAAACACACATTATTTGGCTTACTGAAACAAATGCAAGTATTAAGTTAAGAGTTTAAAAATCTAATGATATGGCTGCATTACAATCTTGCTGTTTTAAAAGCAACTCATTATCTGCAGTTATATTAATGATACAAAATCTTTAAAAGCATGATTCTTCTTCATTACCTTTGATTGCTCCAGGAGTGTAGAGAAAGGAAACATAACTGATCCAAGCCAATTCTTTCTTACATAGGAGTGACCACTGCAGTTTTTTGGACATGTGTCCTAACCAAGTTAATAATTTGCGTTAATCTTTTGTATTTTAGTATGCATTATTCAACTATGTTTCCTCAACAGCTGAATCTTAGAACTATCTCACGTCTTTATTCACTTACTGCCTAAACAAGGTGTAAGGTGTTTAAGCAGACCAAAAGTATTTTCCTAGCTGCAACTTATCAAAAACTTTGGAGGCACAAAACAGATTTGCAATAATATTCTCTCCTCATTAAATATCACCAATTTTATTTCTAGTGTTAATTTGAAAAGAAGTGTAGGGTAAATATTTAAACTAGAAACAAGAGGTAACACCTAATACTTGTAAAAATATCAAATGATTTAGCTGGGTTATAAATACATTCTTAGAAAAAATGCTGTCTAGTTTCAAATATGATGCTGAAATAGGGTTTGGTATACAAAATACCAGACTTTTCTTTAAAATCTGTAATACAATACTGTACTCCACCATACTATGCTATAACCTTCTGTGATTCCTTGTACACATTACCCGAACAAATTTAGTCTACAATTTACCTCATGCTTTTCAATCACAAATTCATCAAAAATGTTAATATTTATATTGTCTTTGATCTTAGATAGCCCTGAAAAAGTATAATCATGTCCTGGAGAGCTGAAACAAAAACAAAAGCAAAAAAATTAAATCAAACATTTTGACAACAAAGTTACTGAAACTATGTATAGTTGTATCTCAGCTCTCGAACGTCTTGGGAGTAGAACGTTCCAGTACCCAAACGATCAAAAACCAGGAGTGTTCCGGTTTCCAAACATTCTTTTGGAAGCCGAAAAGACTTCGGGAATGGACTGACTTCTGAGTTATGACTGTACTGTCATACTGTACTGAGGTTTTGGTTTAATGTTCTGCTTGTGCACTGCATCTTTATGCATAACTTCTCAAGCCATTCTGAATGGGTCCTGCCATGAACAGTTGAGGAGGTGGGGTAGCAGAAGAGCCCCGTTGGGTCAGACTGAAGACACATATAGTCCAGCATCCTGTTTTTACACTGGCCAAACAGATGCCCATGGGAAGACTACAAGGAAGACCTGAGTGCAACAGCACCCTCCCTACTTGTGATTCCAAGAAGCTGGTTCTTAGAGACATACTGCCTCCAAAAGCGAAGATAGAACATAGCCATCACAGCTAGTCATCACTGGTATCTTTTATCCTCCAGGAGATTCTGCAGCTGGGAGGAAATCTGTGACTCCCTCCACTCACCAAATACATGATCAGAACTGCTTCTACTCAAGAATGTGAAACCTGGGATCCAACCCTATATTTCTAAACAAACAAAAAAAGGCTGAAGCCTTCAACATTTCATATTCTTCAGGCTCCTTGCAAGGCAACCCCTTTGATAATATTCAGATAATTTCCACAACCATGCAAAATCAGGGATTTAACATATGTAACCGATATATGCAGTTGAAATCAGAGACTTAAAATAATGGAACAGGATGCAATGTAAAAAAACATTTGGCCACAGAAAACTTGAAGTACTGTATACATTATTAAAAGTGAGATACGCGTAACTTACATAAAATCAACTTGCAGTTCTTCGTTCCAGCATGGATGAGAGCCATCAGCAGTGCTAGTTTGATAGATTGTGTCCTGGAAGGTAACTTCTACAAAAGGGTGGACACCCACCTAAAATAAAAATGTGCAGTATATACTAGAATTTATTTTGGTTTTGTCTCATTTTCAGGCCTATTGATCACAGACATTTTCCTTATTACAGTTATTTAGATAAACTGCAGACATTTTTAAAATCAATATGGAAGTTACTCATGTAATGCATTTATCTCCCCCCTCCCAATATAATATACCCAGTGGACATTACAAGAGAAAAATACACTCCAGTTCTCATTCTATGACAAAAACAGCTGCCAGTTTGGTGAATTGACAACCAAACTGGTACCAAACTGTAAACTACATCCCTAACCACAGCCAAGGCAGATGCTGTGTAAAAGGTGTGGAATTTAGTCTTAGGGTTTTTTAACCTGGTTCAGAGTCCTACAGTATAAACAAACTGAAGCTATATGCCTTACTAGTGCCTTATTCTATTATTGTTAAATAGACAAATTAAGCAGCTTGTTAGAAGTTAGTTCTGAAATGTATAATCTCATAGAACAGTGGTCAGCAAACTTACGGCGCCTTGGGCCAGTGTCTCCAGCGCCGATCGGGTGGCAGGCCGGAGGGCGGGGGAGCGCGTGCCCATACGTGTGCGCACACACTATTTCTGGCGCACTTGGGTTGGAGGAGCACCGGAAATAGCTTGTGCGCATGTGCATGGGCCTCCTCTGACCCAGATGTGCACCAGAAATAACGCTTGTTACTTCCGGTGCTCCTCCGACCCGGACGTGGACAGCCGCGCAGCGCAGCGCCAGTAAGAGCGGGCAGCGGGCATCACCGCAGGGTGGATAAACGAGTCCCACGGGCCTTATGCAGCCCGCGGGCCTTAGTCTGGGGACCCCTGTCATAGAATATAGTGTATCACCAGCAGGAACAGCCCACCAGTTTCTTGTTGTTTCTCTTCAGCACCATGTGCGTGTTGTTCAATCATAAAAAGACTGAATAATCAAGTCAATAAGCTGTGGTTACAAGTCATAGACATTGCCCCGCCTCCATTATTTCTGTGGACACCCATGGAAGGTACTCCTTTTTTTGCAATGGGCAAGGCTAGCACTTAGGATGCAGCTGTTGCTACTACTGTATGGCATCAAGTCTTAGTTTGTTCCTTGCTGATCCAACCCTGGAGCTCTGTGTTGCTAGAGCACAACCTAAGTCCTGGATTCAGTCTGAACCCTTCTCTACCTAGTCTTATTGCAGAGGACATTATGTCTTCAACATTAAAAATAAAATTTTAGAATCACCTCATTCTCCAAAAATAAATGTATTTTACTGCAATGTATAGGATAACTTTCAATCCCTATGCCACAAAGCTCGTTGAAGTCCTGCCAGCACAGCATGGGTGTTTATTCAAGCACAGATTGCTCCCTTCTCCCTCAATGTAATAATCAAATTCCACCCCCTGAATACTAGCATTCAAATTAGCTGAAATATCTGAGATTCAGAAGCAAAAAAAGAGGCCTTGTTGTTTAATGAAAGCAAACTTTTAACCACAAGATGAAACTATGTATAAATATACTGCAGTCTTTAGACTAATTTCTGCACACACAAAATAGACATGATTTGGAAATTAATTTAGAGGGGAGCATATAAATGTTGTTTTTTTAATAATTACCTCATACAAAGGGTCTCCTGAATAGGCTGAATTTCCTGACAAAATATGTCTGCCTCTGGACATACGATTTGGTAAATAGGATGGTGAATTAGCAACTCCAACCCTTGAGACAGTAAACAAGAATTACATGCATATTTCAGCCAGTTTACCTTATTAACATGCATCAAGATTCCCTGCTTATGTATAGGTACATAATTGGCTGGTTGTTACTAGAAATAAAAGGCAGTGGAAATGCATGCCTGCTGGAGTGGAGGCAGGAAAAGACCACTTTGAAAGTTGACATTGCAGCATACACACTTGCAAACTGAGACAGGAAAAAAATGAACGTTATCAGAGGCGCAATCTCAGCAGGTAGGCAGCCAGCTTGCTTTCCGTTAATTGCTAACCAGCTGAAAGGGGTTAGCAGTGAGCAGCAATCTTCTGAACTGGGCCTCTGAGCCAAGATGGAGTTGGCCAAGCAAGACAGAGACAGCAGGAGGCAGTACCCCGTTGCTGTACCTCCACAACCTGGTAGGCACCCACATTTGTAGAGTGTGTGTGCTAAATTAAGATTAGTCTGCCTGTTGCAGGTAGCTCAATATTCAGTGGCTTAATAAAGTTGTGGCTCTTTATTTAAACCACATCCATCCATCCATGCCTTCATTCTGCGTTTGGAAGCAATAATAGTTAATAGTTTTCTTTGTGCTTTGCTACTTAAGCAAAATCATGAATAATGCATCTCTTAAGGGAGAATTTCAGCATTATGCTTGTAATTCTATGCAAGTCAATGAGACTAAACCAGAGCAAGTGTCAATCATTATTGTTAAAATATTATTTAGATTCTCTGAAAGAAAGCTCTGTTTGCTTGCAGCTACAGCATACTATTTTGTAATCCAAATTACTTGCATAGTAATGTATAAAAGAACAAACATACTTTCAAACACAGTAACATGTAAAATTATTATTAGTTTGTTTCAGAATACTGTACACTAAAGCCTTGATTTTTCAACATAATTTGATTAGATTTAGTGGCTATTATGCTAACCATTTACACTTTCACAAAATCCTTCTACATATCTGTACACTAAAATAGTATTTCACTGCACAGCTGAACTTCGGATAAAAATAGCACAAAATGCTAACAATGTGTTGATGATTAGAAGCTGCAGTAAAATATGTACTATGTTTTAATATGCTTTCCCTATAATTCTTGTTATACTTCAGTTTCACTGGATTTTCCCATAAATATTTTTTCTAACTTAACCATTGTATCTGTCTCACTTCATTCAGTGACTTTTAAGATACTGAAGATATTTAACAAAATATTTGTAGCAGTATTCTTAGCAGTTGAAATTGTTCCTTCATTCTAGATGTTATGTCCAAGTGGAAACTTTATACTGATAGGCATATAGAACAGATTATGAAATATGTATGCAACTAGGAAGCCAACCATTATGCAATTCTCTATGACACAATGTGTTGATATAAACAGTCTTTCTCAAGAGTCAAGGTCTTTATAATATAGGAATTCTGTACCTACTTAGTTGGTGGTGCCTTTCTTGCAGGAATATTATAGGCTCTCAATATTCTGATGAGAAGTTTTACATCTCCATCAGAGACAGCCTGTGCTGGGATCTTTCGCCTCTCTCTCCTTTGTGGTTTCAAATGTCTTTTGCGTTCACCTAGCTTGAAAATTGCATTACTCAATTCACTATTTTAAAAAAGGAAATAATTTAGATCAGACTTGCATATGCTCATATGAGGAAAATCTAAATCTTAATTATGCATTTTGTAACTTAATTCTAGAAAAATAAGTTTTAACCTTCAATGTTTTTCTATAGGCTTTTTGTAATAAAATGAACTGTAAAATTCAGAAACTTTAATCAGGTGGTCTATGAAGATTATAGAACAGCCAAAAATATATGTACATAGCCCTACACTAAGCAGCAAAGTGAATGGGGTATAGTCCATTAACCTTTTACATAATAAATGAATATAGTACCTCATAGATATAATTTCTTCATAATCATTCACAATATCTGATAAGTTAAACTTGTGCCTAATGGTCACAATTCGTTTTGTAGCTTGTTTTCTCATCTGTATATAAAAAAGAGACTCGATGAATGCAATCTGAAACTAAATCATCATGGGTTTAGCTGTAGACACCAATATTGCAAGGTCCAATATACCTCAAATGTTTTTGCATTATAGACTACATTTTTAGAACGTGATATGGATAAAATCTATTTTTTTATTATTTATTATTTTGAAATCAGATATTACTTTTAGTTCTAAGTGGGAATTGAAAGGGTTCCTCCAGATCCTAACAGCAAATGGTGGGGACAGTTAAGCACAGGTGTGCTACATATGATCATTGTTGCAGGTGCAGTGATGACAATTTTGATGCTTCATAGGCATACCAAGTTTGAAACCACGTTTGACACAAGATGACTCAAACAGTCCTTGAACCCAACCCAGACTGAAATACCTAGCTGTATTTCCAGTTCTTCTGTAGCCATTTATGCTTCATATTAAATTTATGAAAAGTATCATACCATCCTAACAAAAGTGGCTGAACTATTCCTTCGTGCAGAAATAGGATCTGCATCTGTCATCATGTCCTTTTCTAACTGGTTCCCATATGCCTGAAATAAGAATTAGTTCATTAATCATAAAGCATTAATTTTCACTGGATTGTGCAGCTGGCCATATACAAGTTAATTTGCTACAATTATGTTCCATTTTTCATTGTATCTGGGGAACTCGCATAACTCTCAAGCATTTTGTCCCTCAGCTTTAGAATAATACTTTCTAAGTACTTTTTTGTATGAATTAATGTATATCTTTGATTTCCTATATAAACATTAAATATTTGATATTTCCTTGTTTTCTGTTTTCTCCATATGTTATTCAAGAGCCTGGGATTATGTATGCAGTCTTGAGCTTCTTGAAAGAAAGACAAGATGGAAATAAATTTTTTAAATGAATTTGCTAAAACTATGTAGAAAGGCATCATAAAGCTCCATTCCTAAAAATACATAATCAATATTGCCCAACATGAATGTGGATATTAGAATGAAACACATAGCCAATACTGTTTGTATTCAAGCAAACAGTATCCAAAATTGTAGGCCAACATTTGTTTTTAAAGTGGAATACCTGAAAGACTGTGTCTGGTATTTCTCTGTCATACAGAGGAATTTGCTGGAAACCATAGAAATCTAACTGTCCCAAGCTTCTCAGCTGCAACAGCTGGAAACGTTTACAATTTGTAATCTCTTCTGCAGTAACAAAGTTAAATTCTTCTTGCAGCTGTTCAAGGCGAAAGTATTTTGATTCATTTTGCTCCAAGGATTTTGTATACTAGGAAATATAAAATAATTTATTTAGCAAGTTAGTTGCCTACAACAAATAAGTATGGCTGTTGTTTTTAAATTTAAACTAAAAAATTTACTTCTCTTAATACCGCTTGCAATGTTATGTTCCACATGCATGCTGAAATGATAAAGAATAACCATTGAAAACACAACTTTTGCACATCAGAAAGTGCAGGTGCATGGATCTTGCAAACCTGGTTCAGGAACTCAGCAAAATGTGTGTCAGATGCACACCTCACATTTCCAAAAAGTCTCTGATATGACAAAGACCTAAGTATCAACTGATACACTAGCTACTGAGACTTAAATATTTACCATGATTATCTCAATCAAATCCAAATAATCAGGGTTATTTGGATCAATATTGGCTTCTTTTGCCCACTCAATTAGTTTCTGTATGTCATAATGTTGCCAAATTCCAGTTCCTTTTCCTGAATCAATACACCTTGGCACACTAAAGAAAAAGAAAAAAGAATTAAAGGGATAAACAAGTCTCATTATGATGGAACTCTATTCAGCAAATATAAACCTTACTACCTAATGCAGGCAACATGAAGGGGCTGAAATGTGGGTGCTAAAGGAGCTCCTGTGTCATCAACTGTCCAAGATAAAGAATACATTAATTTTCCTGATGTCAGAATACATAGTTCTTCTCTTTCCTTTTCATCAAGGAAAAAAGGTACATCTGTCAAAAACATAACTGAAATAAGCCTTTTGATAACAGGACCTTATAATTATGTTTAACGTATTATTACTAACATTAATGCCGCAATGTGGATAAGCCTACACTGACAGAGAGAGGAAACAAATATGAGATATAAACTACCATTAACACCCCCGAACATTCCTATTCCTATTTTTGCATCATTTGAGTGAATTAATGATAACTGCCATACATCCAATTTCTACCCCAACTCCTGAGCTGGGGTTTTTTCCCCTGATAACAAAGAAGTGATCAGAGTGAAGTATCCTGGCCACCATGATGATAATGGAAATGGTTAGGACTGCAGTGTTAAGGCCAAACTAATCATGACAACAGCAGCTTTGTGTGTTTAAACATGGATCTGACCACTCACATGAAGAGGGAAGATATGGTGGTCTGTTTTTGAATAATTAAAGACCGTACAGTTGATTGAAACCTTAATACCCTCAATTTACCTCTTCACAGTCTGTTACCCCAGAAATGCTTGGTGTTTGAATCATGATGATATGCTCTAAGAAGGTAAGCTGTCAGTGAAGGGTGGCTTATACACCCCTTACCTGCGCTCCTTTTACTGTGTGACTGGGACAGTTCTACACATGGGTGTAGCCGAGTTTTTTGTTAGAGAGGGCAGAACCTCAGATTTGTATTTATTGTTTGTTTTGTTTCAGGGGGGCAGCTGCCCCCCCCCCCGGCTATGCCCATCGAGCTACATCTAAATGCATGGATCTGCCATCATTGCATATTGACTAGCCCTCACAGTGACTTATCAGAGGTCTAAAGGTAGAAAGCTAAATATCCTCAGAGTTTGGGGGCTCTATGTAAAAACCTTTTAATTCTATCAAATATATCACTGGATATAACGGGAGGAATAAGCATTTTAAAAAAGAAAGCCATTATTATACTGACAGGTGCAGCTGAATTAATAGAGGCACCCATCCCATATCTAGTTTCCTATACTGATCATCCACAGAGACATATTGTAGCATATTGCTTTGAATGATCCACAAATAGTAGTTAAAAATATATATTATGAACTTACTGCTTCCCACTGCCCCATTGGAAGGTTTAACTTGTTGTTCACAACTAAACTCTGCCTCCTCCAAAACATCTTTGCTTTTCAATGTAATATTATTGGGAAGAGGTAAGTACACTTTGGCCAACAAAGTCGGTTTTTTACTTGATTCAAATATCTAAAATTAAACAAATCACCCAATGATTTTAAAAAAGATTAAGCTGTGTCAGCTTAACCAAAGAAAGGCAAGAAAAAAAATATATGCAAAGAAACCCTATTATACACATATTAAAAGGCTGATATAAATCAGTACTGTACCTAGTGCAAAGTGGATTCTTTTTAAGTAAACAAGTAGACATCAGTACAGCACAATATTGTGTAAAAGGTACCACTGATCTAAGATTATAAATATGTTCTAAAATCCACACATTACAAAATCAGTGGCTGTATCACATGGACTAATGATGTACTCCCAAAAGGAAGCCACAATTGGCCCCACTTTCCACTGGCATGTACAGATAATATAACACAGCATCAAAGGTGGGTCTAGGGGAGTGTGACTGGTACAATCACTCCGGGCACGGAGCGTCTGGGGTGCTGAAGCAGGTGCCACAACTATGATATCCAATGGAAGGCAAGAGGCAGGGAGTGCCGGATTTTGGCGTTGCACAAGGCGCCACGGAAATTTGAGATGCCAAAATCCTGACAAGCGTGAAAAAGACATGTGACATTTTCACACATTATGGAACACCATAGATTCACACAATTTTTATGCAGCCTACCCATTAAAATAAAAATACAGGAAGCTATGCTGAGTACGAACAATAGTTCTTAAATATTACATCAAAATACAAACCAATTTTCTTCAAAGTGCATGGTTTGTAAAGAACAGCTTCAGCTATGGTACCCTGTTGAACTATTTTTATCATCTAACTAGGCATACCTCTAATCGAAGAGATTCAGGCCAGTTTAATACTTGAATTCTAAAAATTTGCTGAAATATTACTTTAAAATCCTGGTGAAGAGGCGCTTCGGAAGTAGAGGAGACCAATTTATTGTTGTAATATATTTTAATAAAGTATTTTTCCATTTTGACTTTTTCTCTTCTCTGTTGTTCATCTCTAAACATACCACAATACAGACCAGATCAAATAATATATTAATATTTATATACACAACCAGCCAACAAATCAGAGGAAACTTTCAAAGTACAATAAAATATGTGCTCACACTTTTCCTACATTGGTTCTCACAATGGCAAACATTTTAAATGTTTAATGTGTACAGAATTAAATTGAATATTAATTATGTATTCCATGTCAAACCAAAAAGTGGGGGATTACAGCGTGAACACATATTTTCTTTAACTTGTGCAAAGTTATTAAAGATTTTGAAATCAATAATAAAGATACATTTTCTTTCTATCACCAGGGTTTGAAGTCACAATTCTCATATGTGTGTTTCTTTTTACCACAAGAATTATTAAGAGCTCCAAAAATTAGGGAGCCATTGCTCACACAGTGAAACTGCTTCTTCCTCTCCTCCAACCTGCAGCTCCCACACACCCCAAATCTGCTCCAAAGGGCTAGGGGATCCTCTAGGGTAGATTTGGGGACATGGGGGGGGGGGAGATGGTAAACCAGAAGATTTATGTTGCATAAGCACAGGGCCGTCTTAAGCATATTCGGTGCCATGGTGCAAAGATCCTTCCCGCTCCCCCCTTTCCCAGAGTTGACCTTTTTTTAAGGCTAGAGGAGGCGGGCAGTGGCTGGACGGCAGCTCTCCAGTGGGGAAGAGGCGGAGTGCCTCCTGGCTCAGCTGGCCGCTTTGTGCCACAGTGGCCATGGCAGGCAGCACACCGTGCGCCGCTCCAGCCAAGTGTCAGCTCGGTATTTTCCCTTTTAGCATTCTGGCACGCCGCACAATTTGGCGCCTGCAGGCTAAAAGGGAAAAAACCGAGCCAACGCTCGGTGGGAGCAGCGCATGAACCCTCGCTCACTCAGCACGCTTGTTTGGTGTTCCCCAGACTCTCACCTGGCGCCCTCCAGAACTTGGCACCCTGGCGCCCCGTGTCACTAGCCTCAATGGGTAAGACGGGCCTGCATAAGCCGATGGATATAACTGGATTATACCCATAGTGCACTGTGTCCTACAATTAGCAGAAATTCAGAGTAACTGGCAGCCAAACATTCAGGAAATTTCCAGGTTTTCCCTTCAGTGATGGTCTTCACATAGGATTTGGCTCCCCCTACTGCTTCAAGATGGGAAATGCTGAACTTCAGAAATAGTCTTGGAGGACAGCATTAATATACAGTAATGGGCATAATGGTGTGGTGGAAAGAACCAGTGGAACATAGTTCTTTCTGGATATCAGACATGCATAGGCTATTGTCATTGTCATCTCCACTTTCAGAAGCAAACTGAGGTGTGGGATGGGCTGGCTGGGGGCCGGCTCACTTAAGGGGCATTTTCCCCCTTCCCCCACCATAAAGCATTATAAAACTCAATAAATAAGCAAAAAACTACAGGTGCACAGTCTTCTCTTTGTGCCATATATAATCTATATATCTATATCTATCTATCTATCTATCTATCTATCTATCTATCTATCTATCTAGATATCTATAGATATACACAAGTATAAATTTCCCCCCAGTATACTACTGGGGAAATACGTTTTTATATAGGTGCTTTGTAAAACTAAAAAAAAAGGAAACCTGCAACTCACAGAGGGCACATGTCGTCTGCTGTTATTTCTGTTACAAAGGTAAGATGTGGTACCAAAAGAGGTTCATTTATCCCTCCGATGTCCATTGCGGTTTGGAAGGTATGAGCTGAATCCAAGCATCCCTAGAAATCAATATTTGTATTTTCATTGCACCCAAATTATTATTTCAAACAAACCACAATATCTGCATTCCAATTAAAAAACCTGGTGTAATAAGCTTAGACTGGCATGTATGAGATAGAGTACTCTTCAATTCTGAATTTACACTGTATATAAAATATTCATAAGGTCAACCAGATTTCTACAATAAGCGCCAGAAATTAACTGAGCACAAACCAACAGGGAACAGTGCTAATCACAGCCATTTTCCTACGGCACAATGATTTACTATTCTGCAACTCCTTCAACTTAAGAACCTTCTGTCTTCTTCCAGCTGCTGAAAATTTGTTTGATAAATCAGTATATCTTTCGTCTCTTGGAGCATTTTCATTCTCTTCTGATATGTTGCCTTCGAATTCATCAAGTTCTGAGATATATGTCAGCCTTATTGAAAGATGGGGAGAAAACAATGAAACCTCTACATTTAGGCTCAAATGTTATCTGACATTTGGTTGTACGATTCCTCTCCCTTTTTAATGTGAAGAGGATATACGTAACTGGAAAAAGGAAGTGCTTAACCTTTTTGCTACCTCTTTCACCCATCACTCTTCTCACACTCAATTATAGCCCTCCAGTGCTCTCCCTCTGCAGCTATTATCTGAGTTTTGTTCCTTTGAAAGGAAATCATTGGAGGTCCATTGCATTTTGTAATATTTGAATTTATTTACAAATATACAGGTTAAGCATAGATGGAGGCATACAGCCTAAGCCAGGCTTCCTCAACCTCGGCCCTCCAGCTGTTTTTGGCCTACAACTCCCATGATCCCTAGCTAGCAGGACCAGTAGTCAGGGATGCTGGGAATTGTAGTCTCAAAACATCTGGAGGGCCGAGGTTGAGGAAGCCTGGCCTAGGCATTCCAACAAAATATACTGCCCTACATCACATCCTCAGAGAAACATGCTCCTTGATCTCCAAATACTGTTAGTTTACTGAGCACACAAAATCCTGCTTTTTGTCTTTTTAGATTTTAGATTATTTTTTAGAGATTTTAAAGATATCAAGCTGTTTATCTGTACATATAAACAAACAAACTGTGATAAATTCCATTTCTTCTCTTTGAGAAACACAAACACACAAGGACTAGATTAAATCTTCCTGAAGAATTAAAAATCATATATGAAAGATAATCATTACCACTTACTTTTGAAATTGCAGCCTGACAGTAGAACTAACAAATCCTTGCTGTCTCCGTAGAGATTTTATTTGTTTCCATACTTTCATAATACTTTGTATTAAGCATTTATCTCTTTGGTGTTCTATATCATGTAATATTCTGGTATTTCTTGTATTTTATAATGCAAAACAGAAAAAAAACCTGAGCACAAACTTAAAATTCCATTTAATGATTTGCAGTTGTTAAACAAAAATCTAAAATCATGACATAAATTGTACATTCATTTCCCCTGCAATTAACGTATTTTATAAATATAGTTACACACTGCCCCAGTTTCCAAGCAGTGAGAGATTCTAGGGGTTCCAGCACTTTGCCCAGAATTTGGTTTGCTTGGAATGAAGGTCAGCAGAGACTGTGGCATCTTTAGGATAGATGGTTTTATTTCCACATATATACAACTTAAGCTCACTTCATATCTGTGTCTCCTGCTTCCAGCTCATAGGCAAGAGGATGCCAATGCTCTCCTACGCAAGAGAGTGGGTGGGTGGGTGAAATCCCACCCATTTGTTGTATGGCACAGAGCAACTTCTTTGGTTATGCTAATCATGGTGCTTAACAAGCCAGACAAAGTCATTACCTTAATAAAGGAATTGGTTTGGCAAGCCTGTACATTCTATCCGCACAGATACAGGAGCCCAATAATTGGAAGGGATTCATGGTACCATTCAGATTGACACCCACCAAACTACCCACTAATGCTACCCACTTCCAAGAAAAAGAGGTCTGGGCCTAGACCTACAACTAAATAACAGAATAACAATTGACATGTATCTGCATCTGGTACTTTCACAGTACATAGTTTCCACTGTATGCTGAAGATGCACTCCTTTACCTGGGCTTTGACACCCAAGATATATATTTACAGCACCCACCCTATTCCTGGAACTGCAACTTGCTTTAACTTTTTCGAATTTTACATTGTTATAAATTACCCTGGGATCTGATGCTGAAGGGTGGGTAACAATTTGAAATGATGGTGATGTTTGTTTTTCATTTTATTTCATAGAATTTATTTTCTACTTGATGGGGGGTGGGACAATGTGGTTAAAACCTCAAAGCAGCTTAATCAGTTGCCTCAGGGAATTGATTTTGAGTCAATGCAGATTACTCACTATTTTCAATTTTGCACTCTTGGAAATCAGCACTGACCAAAGCAGTATATACCTATAGCACGGTCAATTCCTCCTCCTGCCCCATTTTAAATAGGTACCTTATTTGTGATCTGTAATCCTTCAAAGTTTTCGTACTTAGCTCACTTGTTTTTAAGTTACTTTCCAGTAATTTTGTGGAACTTATTAATGCTTTGAGCTGTAATTAAAAATAATTTATTTAAAATGCATTAATTCTTTTATTAGCAAATAACTTCGTGCGATATTTTGTTAAAATTAATAATTTTAAAGTATTTCATTTTAAAACATTAATAATATTTTAAAATGAAAGTGTCACACTCTACAGGACAATATCCTTTCTGGATATTTAGGGTTATTGGTTTTTTCCTGCCCTGATATGCATCACTTTGCATTCATTTACATGGATTTACATTTGCCATTTTACTGCCCATTCTGTCAGAATGAAGACACCAAGTCTTCAAGCTGTGACACCCTGAAGTCTTAAAGCCTTTTACATCATACCTTATAACTAAAACTGTAAGATAAAGCATTTTCTTACTTTTTCAGATAGCAAGAGAGTAACGTTTTGCTGCTGCCGTTGTTGAAAGCAGTCATAAAGGTCAAGCAACCTGGCAGCCAGTACTTGTTCACAGTTGAAAAAAAAATGATGGCTAAACACAATACTTGATATGTTAAGATCCAGTTGATAAATTTTGCTCTGTTCCTCTGACTTAGTTATGATGCAGTTTTCCAGTTGAGGTTGCATTGCCTGTGTTTAAAAAAAAAGTAAATTTGAGGTGAAGCAACAAGTTTTTCAGAGTTGAATATGGTTTAAATGAGGAATTACTTCATCTGGCATACATGTTTTTGGCTCTGATAGGTAGTTTTTGCTTTGTTTTCTAGGTTTTCACAACATTAAAAAAAAAAACTGAATAACCTCCTTGACCAGAGATAACAGTGGAGAAAAATGTGTGTAAGTCTTATACTGTGGAAAGTGATGCTCCTCTCGTATCAATTGACTCTCCTAAAAACTATTTCTGTCTTAATTCTTGGTTACTAAACTAACTCTTACTCTTATTTAGTCCTTTTGAGTTGCTATATGATTCAGCCTTAAATATATGTACAGTGGTACCTCGGGTTAAGAACTTAATTCATTCTGAAGGTCTGTTCTTAACCTGAAGCACCACTTTAGCTAATGGGGCCTCCTGCTGCCGCTGTGCCGGTGGCGTGCAATTTCTGTTTTCATCCTGAAACAAAGTTCTTAACCCGAGGTAATATTTCTGGGTTAGCGGAGTCTGTAACCTGAAGCGTATGTAACCTGAAGCATATGTAACCCGAGGTACCACTGTTCAAGAATTTATCACATCTACAAAAATATAAGGTGTATTTTACATGAGAGCATAAATATTACATACCATATGTAAAAAGGCATGATAAACATAAGGTAAAGGTAAAGGTACCCCTGCCCATACGGGCCAGTCTTGACAGACTCTAGGGTTGTGCACCCATCTCACTCAAGAGGCCGGGGGCCAGCGCTGTCCGGAGACACTTCCGGGTCACGTGGCCAGCGTGACATCGCTGCTCTGGCGAGCCAGAGCCGCACACGGAAACGCCGTTTACCTTCCCGCTAGTAAGCGGTCCCTATTTATCTACTTGCACCCGGGAGTGCTTTCGAACTGCTAGGTTGGCAGGCGCTGGGACCGAACAACAGGAGCGCACCCCGCTGCGGGGATTAAAACCGCCGACCTTTCGATCGGCAAGCCCTAGGCGCTGAGGCTTTTACCCACAGCGCCACCCTTGTCCGTTATACCTCCACCCCAAATCAAAGGTGTTTATTCTAAGTCACTCTAGTGACTATTAGTATTACTTCAGATAAACTAAACATTTTTAATATTAATTTTATCGCATTAATATCCTAAATTTCTTTCATCATAGCACCCAAGACATAGCACCCAAGTACGTGTGATTTCCAGACACTTGTGCACTAATGAGACCCTACCTATGAACAAGGTGGTGTGCTTTCAGACCATTATTTAACTTCATGTGTGTTTGATTCCTTAGCAAACTAATTTATAGAAATCACTAGATTTATAGAATTTTATTTGATCACTAGATTTTAAGTGTACTGTATGTATATGAAATGAATGAAGTACATTAAAATATTTTAGGTAAAACATAAGATATTATATATTACTGTTAATATTAGCTCAAATATATTCATTCCATTTTAGTAGTACACTGCACAACTCCTAGTGCAGTAGAGAGCTTCCTCAACTTTCATTAGTTGTAAAGATATGAATGAACAATTCCATCTAAAATATACTCCCAGCCCTACATAGTATTTCTAGCCTGGGAATATAAAACATTTCATAGCAAAATAATAGTCTTAAAAAGGAAGTGTTTTTGTTTTTTAAAGTGGAAAAAAGAAACAAACCTTCCTGTATGTTGTCTTTAATCGTGGGTCAATCTCAGAAGGAAAAAACACTCTGTAGTAACTTGATGGTTTGATTGGAGAAGGCAATGACATTATTTCTCCGCTTTCTTCAAACCAGTTTTTCCCCTTAATAAATATGATTCAGAAGCACAAACAACATTAAGCAAGTCATCTGCTTTTTAAACATATTATTTAGGTAACAGAAGTTTTTAGAAACTAAGCAGCACATTTACCCCATCTTGCTGAAGAAGACGGTTTTCCATTTTGTAGTATGTATTCCTAGATACACGAGGCTTTCTTGGAATATAAAATCCTTCATCTTCTAGGAATCGTGGTGCCATATTGTCTGGCAATTTACAGCTCTGTATAACTGAGAACAATTATTATGAAGTTAGGGTGACATATAGGTAGAATGTAAATTCTTGAATTAATTTATCCTCTTCTTTTTGTTGGTCAGATATTTAAATCTGATCCAGAAAAGTACAACAGTAACACAAAACAAACTGCTTAACCACCTACGCCAAATATAGCAAATTTTAAAATGAGCCCTCTCTTTCACTAACTTTTGTTCTTCTCTCTAATCCTTCCTTCTCTCTCAGAACGGTTGATACTGAAACGTGTCCTGTTCTGGTCCTGCAGATAAGCTCATGTAGCAAGGCAGGTCTATTATCACAAGCACCAAGCAGAGCTCCTAGCAAACAACTTGCTTTGACAAGGACTGGAAGTGTTCTAGGACCTTTAGAGTTTCTGCCTCTAGCCCACCTCTCTTAAACTCTACCCACTTTTAAAGAACTAGTCTCTTAATGGGCTAACCTGAAACACGCAGTTTCCATGCATTCCATGGCCTCTTACCTGGTGAGGGGTGGCAGTCATTTCTGCATTTGTACCAGAAAATGAACAAGATCAGACTATCTGCAGCCTACTGTGCATTTGTGTGTTCACATGCACATTTGTAAGATCTAAGTCACTGTCATATTTTGCAACATACATTACCCGGGGAAGTGCTTGGCAGAAAAAGTTGTTGGTCCCATTGCTTTTGCTTATCGAGATTACTGCATTCACACTCAGGTGGTTTTACTTCAAGCAGTTCTGGTAGTAGTATTTCTCTCACATGATCAAGCAAAGGAGTTTGTTCATTTAAGCCACAGACATTTTGAAGGCTGTCATTTATAGATTTCTGTTAATCATAATAAAAAATAAGTGTGATAGAAATATAGAGAGCGATGGGACAGATACCAACAGAAAGCAATCTACATAAACATGTTGGAATAGATATAGGTAATTTCCAGAGAAATTGCTTTATATTTTTATGAGTCCAGTATGTTTTATGTAGTGCTGTAACACCATTATTAGGACCAGTTTTCTCACTTCTTTCTAATCTTTCAATAGGTCCTAATAAAGGAAGCACCTTATTGTTACCCTTTGATTATTTATAATGGATAAACATTGATAGCTACAATTTTTGTTATATTTTACTGTTTTCATAGGAATTAGAAAACTCATACTTCAACTTTCAGGTTTAATGAACAGTATCCAAGTATGAAGAATTAAGTGATTTCCTTAATACAGTACCTGGATCACTATTTTCTATCTCTATGGAAATAGGCATTTTCCACAGATACTTCAAAAATGAAGTATCACCAATACTGCTTACATTCAGAATGTGCAAGCATTTCAGTGCATGGTCTAGTCCAGGGTAGTCAACCTTTTTATACCTACCACCCACTAATGCACCTTTCTTGATAGTAAAATTTCCTTACTGCCCAGCAGTGCTGGATGGAAGGAGAATTCAGCTTGAGCCATAGAATTCCCTACCGCCCACCTAGAATCCTGAAACCCCCACTAGTGGGCAGTAGGGACCAGGTTGACAACCCCTGGTCTAGTCCATAGGTGTGGGGAAACTGGCAGTACCTCTCTGATCTTGTTGAAAAACAAATATACAGGGTCTGGTGCTTTGTGTAGCCTAAATACCTAATCTCTCCCAGTGTCTCTGCTTAAACAAATATCAGTGTATTTCCCTCCAGCAACAAAGCAAGTGAAAGAAATGCATAGTGATTTCATCCAAAATGCTGTCTTCCTCACTCTCATTCACTTGAAAACAAAATAAACTTCTGTATTCATTTTCTATAGCTTCTCACATATTTGTTCTAAGGACTCTGATATAGTCATAAAGGCACAGGGCCATGCCAAATATGGTTCCATGCCACCCCAATCTCCAAGCAGTGAGAGTCTCCAGGGATTGTGTGCTTGCTCGGGCTCAATTTCCTTGGAAAGAAGGTCAGTAGAGACTGTGGTGTCTTTAAGCTATATGGTTTTACTTGCATACTTATAACTTGAGCACAGGACAGAGAGGCTCACAGCAGTAATGTCTTGCTTCTCCATTAGCCACAGCTTTGGATTCAGAACACAGCAAGACATGTTTTTGTCCCTAGCTCTCAAAGCATCTCTCTTCTTCCAGCTCACTCACAAGCAATCTCCAGTCCAGCCCATATTGTTGCTCATTTTGGCACTTTCTCACCTATATACAACTAATTGCAACCCAGCTCATCCCTTTGAAGTAATCAACAGAGTATTAAAGTGGCCAACTGTTCTTTACAACACTAGAAAGTGTAAGAAAAGTCTGTGAAAAAGTTAAATATTTTAAAGAAAGCTCCAGTTCCACGACAATTGTTTATAAATGTAAGTCAAATACTTATTTGGATCATGGTCAAATATATCTAGGAAATCTATGGTACAAGGTACTTTGAAAAAAAGAAAATGAATGAAATAAAAATTCTTTTTCTTTTGTTTAAGGCTATATAGTTATTTTGTATATAAGTTTAGGGCTACTGAAGAAAACTTTTGAATAGCTTATTTCATAATTTTCCTTTGTTAACAGAGAAAGTGAATTAACTGTAGCTATAAACAACTTCAAATACTAGACATCTATTTGACAGAAGACTTTCAAGACACTCCAACATCATAATGCAACAGAAAAGAAAGCACTTTGTATGAAGAGAAGAATAGCAGTACCTGGTCAATGACCTGATCAGTTTCTTTCAGCTTTGAGTAATCTTCAAAAGTTGATGTAAAAAATATAAAACCTTCATCAAAGGAGACTTCATTCTAAGATTTAAAATTTGGTGAATAATTATCAGTCAGTAGTGCTAAATACTGGGTAGCCTTCTCTTTCTCCAGAAACTTACGGTAATTTTCCTTTATTATTCTTTATTATATCCATTGACAACATCACCATCTAACCTAGCACTGAGGCTGTTTTACTCCTTTCCTCCTTCTCATATTCAGTCTTCTCATCAAGTCACATGTTCTTATATAAAAACCCACCAATTCATCTCTTTCTCAACTTAAATTTTGGTTCATCATCTTCTCATTCCCACCCTGTCTAATGAAACATTTTCCTCTTAGGCCTTCCCTTATCATGCCTTAGTTCACACACCTCTACCCATAGCTTTGCTACCAAAATCATTTACCTTCTTCATCATTCAGAACTTAGCACTCTGAATGTAGAGCAGAGACAGCATATGCCAATCTTTCTGTAAACAAAGGTAATTCCTATCTCTGAGTCTTCTCCAGTTGACCTTCAACTTCAACTTAAAACACCTCTAGATCATGTTGCTTAAGAGGGAGCGGGGTGCTTCTTTGGCTTTTCTCAAATTTGTGCCACAGCAAGAAGAAGCTCTAGATTACAGAGCTATCTATATATATATAGATATATATATACTGTATATATATATATTTAGAGGAACAAGTAGCAAGCATCTCCCTCTTGCTTCTCCCCTCCCCACCTCTCTGATACCGAGATTCTTGAATATGCACTGTACATTTAATGCACACACGCCTCCACCCCCCAAGAATCCTGGGAAATGTAGTTTATACCTCACAGAGCTACAACTTTCAGCACTCCTAAAAATGTCAGTTCCCAAGATCCTTTTTTGGGGGATGGGGATGTGCTTTTAAAAAAAGCAGTGAGAAGAGATCCAGGACTGAATGATACCCATCTTCTTGATGGCACAGGTGTTTTCTATATGTAATGGCAGTAACCAGAATCACACATTCTACAAAAAATATGCTCATATTAGAATTTGTTGCACCAAATTGAATATAAAAAGCAATGGTGCAGCTTATCAGTGGTGGCAGCAATTTTACAAATATTTTATTACCTCAGTGCTCACATCAGAGTTGTGTTGGTTTTCTTTAGTATCGGAGTAGGGTTTGTCGAAAGATTTTTCTTCTTGTTCAGCCTAAAACAAAGGATATTTTAGTGTGCTTCTTGCTATTTTTAAAAACAAAGAGAAAACAAGAACTGAGATAAAATGGAGGCTTTCCATATTCAGCACTTAACTTCTTTTTTCTGATGCGCTCCAATTGGTGTGGGAGAAATGGTTGAATTTACCACCTTTTATAGAATCATACATACAATAAGTTACATGTTTCATTTGAATGCTAAATCAAAATTCAATTAAAACTATTTACCTTAACAGTTCTCAACTTCCCTCTCACTCTATCCCGTAATACTTCAGTTAATCTACTTTGTTTTTCTTCTACAGCCACAGCTATTATAAAAAGCACAGACATTTAAAACACACTTTGCAATAAAATACTTGAATATTATCGGAATGTATTTTGCAGTACTTTTCATATAGACAATTTTGGATTCTCAAGGAAATGACAATCCAATAGGTTTTTCAAAGTTTGTGAAGGATTTAGATTAAGTATTCTTTATTTGAGTTCATACATTCACATTTCAAGCTCGCTCCTTAAAGTGCAAATTATAAATGAAAGTGCATTTAGTTCACTGCACAAGAAAAATGCAGAAAACACATGATTTCAAGTTGCAACATCTGCACAAAAAGTTGACAAGAATCTAAAATTAGAATATTCTAATTCTAGCACATCAGAATATTCTGTATTATTTTTTTATCAAGTGCTAATATTATTACAGTACTTTAGAATAGAATGAAAACAGGAAAAGGTCATATGCAGGTTTGACGTTTGAATAACATCTAAATTTAATCTGAGCCACATTTGTGGAAATGCCCTTGAACTTCATTGTGATATATTACAACTTGGTAAGGAGTAAAAACATTAAGCTACCTTCCTGTGGATTTTGGTCCGGGGTTTCTTTTTGTTTTCTATCAACATGTATGTCATCTTCAGTTTGCTACATTAAACAATTTACCAAAAGAGAAAAGTTGCAATGAAATGATCAAAACTATTCCCTCACATTTTTATTCATTTTTTTCAGCTGTATACATCATATACCATCACCCCATCCAAAATGTTTACTAGTGAGCAACCTACAAAAACTTCAAGTTGTGATGCAGGCAAGGTTTATGCCATCATTCAGATAGTAAATGGAATAAACAAAGAAGAATATGATATTCATATTAGAAACAAAATAACATTTAGAGTTGGTCAACATGCTATAAACATTTAATTGTCAACGACACAAGATGCCCCATTTGTTCAACAAATGTATCTATATGTATAACGGAGTTTTCAAAAACTCATTTCCATTTTAGCTCCTCTTGTTCAGTGGCGTAGCTAGCCACTCGGGTGCCAGGTGCGGCACACGCGTCCTGCAGCTGGGGGTGGAGCGAGCCACCCATAGGGGTGGGGCGCGCTGCATGCAGCCTCTCCGCCACCTCCCCCCAGCTGTAGGGCGGCTGAGGGAGAGGTGGAGGGCAGACGCAAGTCCTACACTGCCATTTCAGGCAGCGCAGAGCCTGCAGGCCCCAAGCCACTACGTCACTCCCAGGAGAGACATGTGGCTCAGGCATGCTGCAGGCTCCGCGGTAAGTGCCGGCCCCCGCGGTGTGGCGCCCACTGCCAGCTGTGTTTCGTTATGTTCATTCACTGAACTAAAAAGTTTCATGAGCCCATTTAAAAAAACAAAAACAAAAAAACTCTCCTATTTTTGTCATTTTGTCACACACACCCCTCAGTGATGACACCTGGGATGGATCCGCACCCCCCTTCCTCCGCCATGGCTCTTGTTGTATTTAGAATTTCTAAAGTGGCCTTTTGAGAGATTCTGTAGGACTAAAGGAAAATAGAGAAAGGCCCCCAAAGCCCTTGAGTGCTCCGCCAATGAGTCTTTGAAGTGAATGCAAAGCCAAATATTACAATATGAAATGATTACAAAAACAGCAACCTTAGTTGAAGTGCCTCACTTCATAATGTCTAATACTAGCTTTCCAACCTAGTGTTTCCCTCCAGGTGCTCTGGACAACAGCGCCCATGATCCCTGACCACTGATCACACTGGCTAGTAGGAATGATGGAAATTGTAGTCCAAAACATCTGGAGGTATCAGGTTGAAGAAAGCTGGTCTAGAGGAACTTACCCTGATGTCATTATATCTTCACCCACACATGCAATAAAATGGCACTGCTCAGTTAAGATTTCACTTTCAAGATAAAACTGATTTGGGGGAAAATACATTTTCCATGTAAGCTCTGTAGAGAAGAGATTATTTTTGAAAAAATTTAAAAAGCAAAGGCTTTCCAAACTCTTGCTTCAGTAAATGTTTTGCATGCTATGTCATGGGGTAAAATGTATGAACGTACCTTTCTTCTGACACTTTTTTTCTGTAAAGATTTACTTTTCCTTGCAATTCTTTCCTGAACCTTTTCTTTCTGCATAATAAAAAAGAAAACTATCTAAAATCATAATCTATATGATAGACAACTTTATAAACAAATGTAAATAAAAGGGTTATGTTGCATAGAAGGATGAAGTAAATTTTAGGGAACTCCTTCCTAACTGAACCTTTGGCGCCTACTGAATTTTTTTTTTTACTCCACCAAGCATTTCAATCCAAGTCAGATGTTATAGATTTAACTATTTTTTTACTTTTTATATTGTATTATTGTAAACCATTTAGAGACTATCATAGTGAAGTGATAAAAAAATAATAGGGACTACATGTAGTTGGGTAATTTGGGAACTAAATCTCACTTGCCAAGTTATTTTCTTACACTAAATAACCTCAAGCTTTTCAATAAATTTCAGTACCATGACATGCTGCCTTTAAAAATATTTGATTATATTGTTAAGGTTAGGCTTCTTGCAACGTAGGGATGTTCACTATTACAATTTTGTTTGTCATAAATAACAATAACAAATACTTTCAGGATTTTTATACATAATTTTTATTAAAGATTTTCTTGGGTTACAAAAGTACATGCATTGCCTCTATTTGCAGGTTGTAGAGTCTTTTCTACAAATCTGTTACATTTGATGTGAGACATTAATGTAGTATATGAGGTTGGGGGAGAAGAGAGGTGGGGACAGAGAGTGCAGGGGAGGGGAAGTGGTAAACTTACACTATTTTACATAGTGTATGTGTGAGGTTGTTGTGTTAATAAATTTCAGTTTTAATCAGTAAGCAACCACACCCTCACCTCCAAAGAGGCATCTACTTGCCTGAGATTTTAACCATTAGGGAAATATCCAGAAAACAGAATAAAGTGTTGTGTGAATGCAGCCATAATCTAATGTATTTGTTTTTAAAATACACTTATCTATTATCTATAGGAGTATTATAAGAAATTCATAATAACCATATTAATTGTTAATTGTAGTACATTCTTGGGGTATACTAATAAACATATGCCTGTTATTATTATCACTATCTTATCTAGAATAAAAAAAACCTGATCAACAAATCTAATTATTAGGCCAATGTAGGGTAGTAATGTAAACATTTAAAAATAGTCTTCATAGCTTGCCTTTGTTTTTCTATCCAGTAGTATTCCTAATTCTCTGTCAGGATCCATTTTATATAAAAAGTGGATTCAGTTGGTCATCAAGGACACTGGGAAAGAATATGCAGAAAATTAAAATGTAAAAACCAGTCCATCTTTATTCCATTCCACATATTTGTGTCTATCACAGCTCATCTTATTCTTTTGCCTAGTACAGAATGTTTCTGTGCCGGTACTGCTCATTCATTGAGTGCAGGTGTAGAATGCAGAAGAAGCGTGTGCCGATGTGCATACAGAAGCTCTGTGTGACCTGGAACATTCCAAGTCAACCACAGCTCATATACCAACCACACTTGAGTGGCAACTGTCAATTCCCTGGCAGGCCACATTTAACAGCTTGTGAGTTCTATGAAATAGCTGTGCAGGCCCAACTAAGCAATGAAAGCAATATTGTTTCAAGTGGCTGCCACAACTGCCACAAGATAACAATGAAATGCAAACAAGTCTAAGAAATAAGCGCCCAACTTGAGAAGTGGGCGAATTACTACCAGCAAGTTCTGACTGAGAATAGGAGTTTTGCTTCTGGATTGCCAATAAACATGGTCCAGAAGTTTAGAACCAGAAAGTCCTAAGTTCTTAGAATCGCAGAACTGTAGAGTTGGAAGGGACCAGCGAGGATCATCTAGTGTCCGCAATGCAGGAATCTCTCACTCAACAGGAGGCTCAACCCCCCCCCAAAAAAAGCTGGAGACTCTCATGCTCTACTGAGTTATCCTAGAAAATAAACATGCAGTAAGACAAAGTCTTATTCTTCCTCTTTTTTGACCCCAGCACAGAAATGCACCGATAGGCACGCTCCCTTCTCGTCAAAAACTGAAACTCCTTCTCTCCCCCCCCCCCCGCCCGGATTCCTGACTAGCGGGACCTGAGGTGAGCTAGAAGGGAGAGAACCGTCTCCTCAGCCGGCCAAGTCCCAGCTCCATTTAGGCAAAGTGACAGGGCAAACCGCTCTGAAGCAGAGAGAGACGTCCTCTCCCGCCCTGGCTATAACCGTAACCTTTCTACCGTTAGCGAAACAAGCACGCGCACCGCATCCCGCCCCGCTCGCCATCCAGCCAGAAAATGAAGCGTCCTCCCCTAAAACGGCCAAAAGAGGACCCCCTCTCTGAGCATGCGCTCCAATGCGCGCCGCCGGCCGCTGGGCATGCGCTTGCCGCTCTGACCGGCTGCGGGGCATGCGCAGTGCCGGAGCGTGACGGAGGAAGCTTTACTCGTCGCTGGGTCCGCTCGCTTCTCTCTGGAGAGAGAAAAACGCGTTTCTGAGGGTACGAGCAGCCGCCCACCCGCTTTTGCCGAAGCCGCCACCGGTCCTCTTGCGAGGCCTGGTGAAGGCCGCGCCGCAGCTCGGTTGATTTCTGGGCCCGAAGGGTTCGGTGCCCAGATAGTTGACGCGCCCATCTTGTTTCGGGGCCCGGCGCCGAGGTCCCCAACCTCGGTGTCCGCCGCCGGGGAGCCGGGGCTTCCTATGGAGTCTGTGCCGCCCCCTTTTCTCCCCACCTCGCTTGGGGGGGGCGGGGAGCAGAAACCTGCCCCCCCCTCGCCCCGCGGCAGGTTGGTCGGGCAGCTCTTCTTCCTCCAAGCTTCCAGCGAGACAGCTTCGTTCTCTTCCGCCAGATTTGCTTCCTGGAAAGTGGAGGTGCTTTGCCGAGCGGCTGTTTAGGGGGGCTGAGAGGTTCAGCTCTATCTCCGCGCCTTGCCAAAAAAAAAACCTCACAAGCCGACCAGCTGCTAATTCCTCTAAAACCCCCACCCACTCATTTCCACCTCCTCGAGTGCGTGCATTTAAGACCAAGCAAACGGTGAGGGGTGTTTGTTTGTCGATCAGGCTCTTCTTTCCCAGTGCCCCAGTAGAGAGGGGGCAAGGGTGTGGTTTTGGAAACAAACTGGGTTTATTGGGGGACCCCCGCCCGTTTACCTCCCTGCAGTCTGATCCCCCGTCCTCCTGTGCTCTCCTGTGTTCAAAGTAAGGTTGGTGTGGTGGTATGGGGCTGGACTGTGGGGAGATAAGCGCTGGGTGAGGGTTCAGCTCTCCTCTTTGGCAACAAAAGCTAGACCTTCTGCTCCCTTGCTTTATTTATGCATGGCTGGTGAGCTACCACCATTGCATCACACCTGGGCCTTTGAGGGCTCTCAGCTCTGTGAGAGTTGGAGGAAGAGACTGGCACCGGGTTAACGGCGCGGTTCTCTCTCATTTGCTGCAGTGCTGCCCATTTTCTCTGCTGCCTCGCACTCTTGTCCACTCCTGCTTTCACCATGGTTAAGAAGAATAGTATTCCCGCTGGGTAAGTATCCTATAAATATTACATGGAGAGAGGGAGGAAGGGGGCTCTGACAGCCCCACCTGTTCTCTCTTGCTGCAGCACCGTCTTTGCCATCTAACATAAGCTAAGGTAAGTATTTGCAGCAACGTGAAGTCACAGCTTACCGTCCCCCAGGTAAGTATTTTATCCCACCGTGTTTGTGAATGCTCTTCCATCAGCCATAGATGGCTCCTGTTTCTTCTCTCTTGATCCTCAAATGTGTGCAAAGAGGAATTAATTGAAACTACGTTCTTTCAGTTCTGTGACATGGCAGAATAATACCACATCATGTTATAAATGTGGTTTTTATTAATTACATGACATGCAGAAACATATGCTACTTGACTAAGCACGGGCTATTTACATAAGCCCAACTTTACCAAAGTATTATTCAAGTGTGGTTATTTTTAACTGTAGGATTGTCAGCATTGACTTGCATAATTGTCTAACAGTTATTAAACAGTAATTGCTTTCCTTCATCACATTTAGCCCCTAAGGTCCCAATTTTTCTCCACTTTTGTGACATGCCAAAATACCCCAGAACTCTCTTAAAACATAATACAACTTTTCTATGGAAAAGTGCTTTTAAAATGTAGAGATTAGTTTGATAAAGCTATCCAAATATCAAGATAAAATTGAAGTAATTCATGAAGTGACATTAGAAAAGTAAACATAGAAACAATATTGCTAAGCAGTATTATTTCTAAAGGAGTACTGTTGCAGCAATTCGAAAGCAAAGTTTGTGGTTATGACATATTTTTTAGTTTGCATTGTTCTGCGTCTTCCTCTGTTGCCTCCTGCTCTTGTACACTCTTGTAACATGGCATTAAATTACCAACATAAATTGAGTATGCATTTAACAGACAGTTGAAACATGCATTGATTTTAATAAACAGATCAACTTGGTAGTCCAACCCTCAATAGAAGGATAACTTGGCTGGAATTCTGCATTGAGAACAAAAGCTTAACATTGTAAGGAGTTATTGGGAAGTTAGGTACCAATTAAAATAGTGCAAATAAAAGTGAACTGTAGTTGCAAGATTGGTACATTATCTTTTAGGCTAGAACTGGTAGCATAGTAGAGCTTGATTTTTTTGTCTAGAGGCCAATCGTCACAACTTCTTCAGGGTGTAGCTGATAACCAACAGGACTTCACCTCTTCCAGCTTGATAACATACTATGAGAAGCAATGCATGACTATCACAATTGTGCACTGAACTAGGCACAGATAAGTTTTCAGTACTGAAGTTACTATACAATTGCAGCTGCACATTACAGCCTCTGTGCACTGAGCTGCCTGTGTTGTTGACAGTTATATTAGCCATCTTAGTATATGCTGCTAGATGGAATTCATTACTGGCTGAGTTTACTGGCAGCAGCTGTTCATTTAAGGAGCTGTTACACAACCTGCCATCTCTCATTTGTTCTTCTATGTCGTTGCCGTTCTCTATGCCTTCACAGTACACCCATACAAATACCAGCACTAGAGTTGTACACACAGACTATAGCAGCCCAGATACCTCTTGGCTAGTAGATCCTTGGTGAGGGGTATATGAAAAAAATATGTGATAAATTGGTTGATAGGATTTTATAAAGAATGGACATTGGCTGCTTTTGCTAAGAAGACAGTGCTGGGGGTTTTCAGTTTTTAAAAGATTTCCATCTTGCCTCTCAGTGGAAGTTTCCGATGAAGGTAACACATTGATTTAAAATTGAACATTAACATAAAAGCAAAAACAACACCGTTAAAGAGCATCAGTAAGAATAGAAGCAACATTTTAAAATAGGGAGAAGTATGGCTGTTCCCAGTGCCAAAAACGTAGTGAAGTTACACATCTGGAGCACACCAATGAAAAGGTCCTATCTCTGGTCCAAAGCCAGGTGTAAATGCATAAAGCAGATCAAAAATATAAAATGCATATCAGTGGGTTTCCTCCCATGTCAGAGGGTCTTTCACTGATGCTCTCTTTCAAATACCAAATATCAGAGATTGAATTTGTTACAATATGGGCAAGGGTAGTATACCTGATGCCACCATTGCTGTCTTTTAGGCACCAGACAAAAACATTTTGTATTTACTCAGTCATTTAAAAGAATTTTTCTATTCTAAATATGTATGTCTGTTGAGAATGAAGTTCAGTGGAACTTCCTCTTCAGTAAGAGAGTACTGTATAGGATTGCTGTATTATATGACTTAATTGTGTTTTTATCTGCTGCTGCTTTCTGTGTATGTTGTATTACTTGTTTTTATTTTTTGTACCCTGATTTGAAAGTATTGATGAAAAGAGGTGTATAAATATTTTAATTAAAGGGAAATAATTCAGAAATAGATTTACCTTCCCAATATGATTTGGTCCTACAGCATATAAGGCATATTTTACTGTAGAAAAAAAATACTGATAACTTTCACAGTAAGTTGAAGGTTCCAGTTTTTACGTCCTCCTTTAATTGTACACTATAGCTGGACTATTTCAAATTGCACATTGTTATTCTATTTTATTTTGTGTTACCGGTAATTGTTATACCTATAATGAATTTGCTAACAATATAGGTGAATATACATTATCCAAAGTGCTAATACACATTACTTGGAATGCATTGTCATTATATACTTAAGGGATATTAACAATCTAATAAAAATTAATTAAGCAATTCAGATTGGTAAATATTTTCTCTTTTCATATTAGCAAAAATACATTCAACTTAAACAGCTAAGTTATTTTAGGCAGCTAAATAATAAGGAATAGAAAGTGAGTACAGTTAAATGTCTTTGTTTCCTATTGTAAGAAGGAACTATACTTCTGTATTAAAAATGTTATGTTACTTTGCAATTATTCATAAGACACGTAGGCCGCTAGCAAACATTTAAAAATCACTTTTTTGTTAATGAAGCACTTATTTACATAATTTCAGGTGCTTGCATGATCATTCTTTTAACAGGTGATAAATATTATCGATTTCAGTTTGCCTAAATAGAATAAAGACAGATTTCCCTTCCTTCTATTAATTTTTTTAATTGTAGAGTCTTGAGGAGGGCATTATAAGATAGCTCTTTACTCTGAGCTATTTGCTTAAGTGTTTCTCCTTTCATTCCTTATGATTTGAGGGACAGTTGAAATATTCTTCGCTTTGTGTATTTCTGTAACACAGTTTGAAGTATTAAATCAGATGTTAATTGGGGTCACTGCAAGCAGTCCTAAGTTTTTTTCCTATTATGAAAAAATAGCTTTTAACTCAGATGAGGAATTGTGTACAACCATTACAGCTGCTCTGTTTTCCTCCACAAAACTCAATTCCACCTTCACCCCTGTTGATTTTCTCCATCTGACAGTCAACTTTCCATAGGTACTGAGTATTCTCAGGCCTCATTGAGGGCTTTGCCACTTGGGATTCTTTTTTAAAAACATTTTTTATACTTTTGCGAACCATGGGGTTTCACTGAACATGCTGGTACCCCTCTCTTTTTTCTCATTAGTTCCATTTCTGCCATCACTTACTACCTGATCTCTTTGTTAGAGGAAGTGATGAGTGCAACTTAAGTCTGCGTGAGATGGATTTCATTCCAAAGTTTTCACTGCATGAGTGCAATGAGGCAAGTCTCCCACTGAGATGGCATAGTGTTATTGCTGTAGGGTGCCTCACCAGCTCTCCAAAAATTGGGCTCCTTTTTCTCAGCTTAGCTTGCAA